GGGAGTTGATGTCCGAGTGGATCGAGGTCACGATAGCTCAGGTGGTAGAGCAGCGGCGTATCTAGCCGAAGGTCGTGGGTTCGAATCCCTCTCGTGCCATTAACTTTTTTTCATCTCAACTAAAAACCTTAATTAATTGTAATGTTTAATTGGTCAAGCGGACCACGACATTAGTGAATTTAATAAAGTTTATTCTTACCTTATTTGTATTTTGCTTGTGGTTATTCTTTGGTCGTTTCTTTCTCTGAAATTAAGCTAAATGTTAATTATAATTTTTAAACATCTAATTATCTCAATGTTTATTTAGTCTATTTAATTTAGAGATTATTTAACGACTGATTGGAACTTACTTTCACGTAGATTGCCTTTGTTGTATATTCTTCATTCATTACTGGCTAGAACATTTAAAAAGTAATTATTTCCTACTTTAATTATATCAGGCAAAGTTTGTTTTCAATATGCCAATTACTAAAGTAAAATGATTTTCTCATTTTATGTTTAAGAATTTTCAACATTAAACTTACTTGTGTCATGCCTTGCGCGGGGGTAGTTTTGGGATGCTTTTCGATTTTCTGTAAATAAAATGTGACGTAAATTTTTTGCCAAATTTGATGATTTTGTAATATTTTATCGGTTAATTTTAATAATTGTACTTGCCCTAACTTTAATTCCTGATTTTGTTGTATTTTCCTCATTAATTTTATACTAGAACATTCAAAATTATGTTAGTTTCTACAAATAATTAATGCGTTTTACATTTAAAAATGCAAAGTGTGAAATAAAATAAAAAATTATAGGCTGTACATATACATCTATTTATTGCAAATCATCTTCTCGGGATGGTAAGGTGTAGACAGGGTTTGGGCAGTAGAAATAGGATGGATGAAAAGTTTGTTGTGGAACTTTTGGAATCGAGATCGGATCTGTTCGTTGCTAAAAGGACTTTTGAAGTCGTTTTAGATAGTAAGGAGGTTAGTGACCTAGGAAGGACATAAAACTATTCATCTGAGAACGATGAAAGAAAGGATTAGATGAGCTAATTCCACTCCGAATTCCAAAGGATTGCAGCAATGCAGTAAAAATATATTTTCTATTGCTGAGAAGTCTTCGTAGTTATCTAAGTCTTCTGTTAAGTTTTTGTCTCATAAATCTTGTGAGGGCCGTCGGTCTATAGTCAAAATATAGGCCTAAGTATCCATGTGTATAGTGAAGGGGGAGAAAACTCGAGTTGTTCTAGGATGTTAGACTTTGCTTGTTAAGGTAATGCTAAAGGTTGTGCTTACGCTGTTGTGTTGTATTGGAAAGTCAACAGCATAAATGGTATACAGGATGGGACAAAAAAGCTCCCTTGTGGGACGCCGGCTTGTGTTGGTCTGGTGAGCATCCGTTGAAGTACCAGCACGGGATAAAGTAATAAAGGGGTTGGTAGGAACCTTTAAGCATACATCCTAGGATCTAGACCCTATCAAAAACCAAGGTCAAGTAATACTGTCTCTGGAGCTAAGGAATTGCTATCAAGACTTAAAAAAAAATGGTTCCTACTCACTTTAAGTTGTTTCGCAACAATCCGGATTTCGAGCCCTTTAGTTCATCGTCAGGTTGAAGGGTTTCCACAACCACCTCTCTCGACATGAATTGCAGAAGTCACTTCTGTAGTCACTTCTGCAATTCATGTCGAGAGACGTGTTTGTGGAAACCCTTCAACCTGACGATGAGCTAAAGGGCTCGAAATCCGGATTGTTGCGAAACAACTTAAAGTGAGTAGGAACCATATTTTTTAAAAAGGATTAAACTCCACACTCACCCCATCATTTATAATTTCTATTGCTATCAAGTCACTAAAAACCCATGCCTTTTTGGACCAATGGGCACGGGAGCCGACTTGGTGACAAGGAATGATTTCATGTGAATCTAGGATAGGTAAATAATTTGATAAGAAGTCTTCCAAGGATTTGGGACATCAGAAGAAGCAGGCTGATGGGCCTGCAGGAGGAAATATGGGAAATAGATTTAAATATAGCTAGTTTGTGCTGTAAACTTACCTCACTTGTGCTTTCTTTGAGCGACGTTTTCGGCCGTTTTGTTTTCTGCGACGTTTTAAATTTAATTTGGTTGTTGTTTGATACTGATAATATTTGTATACACACTTTTTAAAAAAATAATTATGACTCACCCTAGCTTTTTTACGTGGCGGATTTGTTGTAATCGCTTCTGTTGTCAAGTGCTAAAATATTTCAACAGTGTAATTTTTAAACAACTTGTTAAAATTATAAATTTTCATGTACATCACTTCAATGGGCTCAAGAAGCGTACAGATCGGCCTCAGTTGACCCGTATTTAGTAAAATCCAACAAAACTTGATGAAATTGTAATGTTTAATAATAGCAAATTTTTACGGTTAATAACATATTTAAATACTTGGAAAACTTACCTCTGATGTGTATTGTGTGCGGGTGGTTCTCGGGCGTTTTGTTTTCTGGAACTAAACAGTTCAATTTAACTTTTAAGTTGAGTTTTTTTTTTAATTAGAAAAACTTCAGCGTAATATATTTACATAATTGTTTAATAAGTATTACTTACCCCGACTTTATAACGAGGGTATTTTGGTTTAGTTTCTTCATTAATTTCGAGCTAGAACATTTCAAAAGTGGTTATTCACTTAACCACTAATTAATTATAAATTGTGTCACGTCGCTCTGAGGCGTTTGTGTTTTGCTTAAACCGTAAGACAAAGACTAGACAAATGTATGTTCGACAATTAAAAAGCAAATAGTTGATACATAAGTATTTTTATGGTTTCAATTATATAGATAATCTAATAATAATACAATTTTATAATAATATTTTAAAACATTTATATTATGAAATAAACCGCGGGTCAATCGAACGTTAAGCCGTTTCTCTGCGTTTTAATTAAATCTGATCAATTTAATTACCCTTTTCACACAAAAAGATGTATTATTTGCTTTCAAAGGGTCAAACGATGGCTCTATCCCGGTTAAATTAATCCCGTCTTCGGCCAAATTTCCTCCGGCATGAAAACCAATGGAAAGAAAAGGTTTCGGCACAAAGTTAAAACTAATACAGGGATTTTTACGCGTTTAAGAGCAAATCAGCTTCGAGGGGCTTTTTGCTAAATAACTACCAGGGAAAGGTCCAGAGTTTTGCAGTTTAGAACGCAGGTAAACGTCGTCTTTCCGCAAGGCAAAAGTTAAATATAAAATAATGATTTTATTAAAAAACTTTTTCAATTGACATTAGTTATGAGAAAAAAGTCTGAAATTCATATATATTGATGCTTTTGTAAATTTTGATAACTGATAAAAAGAGGCATTATTGAGAAACGAAAACCTGATTCACATAGTTTTATTAAAAAAACATTCATTTTCAACTGTAAAAATATTATTATTGGCCATTGATAATGTAGTTTATCTTGTATATTTAACATTTGAGAGCTTTTTTGTTTTAAATTTTCGGTTCATTTTCAAGTACCCTTAGTAACCTTTATACTTGGGGAGGCCAAACCACTTTACACTTTTTTCGTACAATTCTAATCAAAATTTTATGGCCTTGACGGGATTTGAACCCAGAACCGTTAGAGTGGCAACTAAGAGTCAGAAACCCCAATCTCTCGTCCACCACCACGTTGCATAAAATGTGAATTGTTATTAAAAAAATTATTATAATTTTCTATGTCCTTATATAATTGCTGTCGTACTCTTTGTTTCTTCTTCTCTTGTTTATACAACACTCGATGATTTAGGGTGGTTTTGCAATAATCCATCATTTGTTCTGATAACTTCAGATGATACCGTCGGAGAAACGAAAGAGTAAATAAACTAGTGATTCGGAAACGACCGCTTCTATTTAACCAAGGGCGAGTCACGAAGGGCCGAAGGAACTGAAACCTGTTGAAACTCGACTCTGTCACCGTCCTCTTAGCCTCTCGTGGGCAAAATTTCAGACTTGGCGAAGTATAAAAAAAATCACCCCGTGACAAAACCTTTTAAGTTGATGAGCATAGGAAACAAAAATTCAAGGCTGATTGGAAACATGCAACCTTTTGGTAAATAAATATTCACTGGGGTACATTTATACATGAAAGTTTATGTATTAAAAATTCTATGCTTTTGTTGAAACTGGTAAAGCACGTACAAAAGCTAAAAACATCAATTTCTAATAAACTTTAAACAAAATTAATTACAGTCACATTAGATCAATCTGATTAAAAAGCACTTCGCTTTAATTAAATACTGTTATTTATATGTTATTTATTATTACAATTAAATAAGGTTTTTAGTTGAGATAAAAAAGTCAATGGCACGAGCGGGATTCGAACCCACGATCTTCCGCTTGATACGCCGCTGCTCTACCACTTGAGCGATCGTGACCTCGATCCACTCCGACACTAACTTCCCATCTCAACCTCACCTTTTGAATTTTCCCTGCTTTTTGCTATTTTTCAAACCTCCTTTTTTTGAGCAGCGGCGTATCTAGCCGAAGGTCGTGGGTTCGAATCCCGCTCGTGCCATTGACTTTTTTATCTCAATTAAAAACCTTAATTAATTGTAATATATTAATTGGTCAAGCGGACCACGAAATTAGTGAATTTAGTTATTTATTATATCGATCTATTCGCAAGCGTTTATCATATGTTATCAAGCTGTAATAGTATTAGTAGGCGAGTTTAAAATCAAGCAAAATAGAACCAGTATCAATGATTTTTTTAAAATAAACGAATGTACAAAATATGCTTTTTCGCTATTGAAAACACCTCAGATTTGTAAATAAATTTAATATCTTTTGCTTGATTGTTTTATTTGGTTTCAATTTAAAAATTTTAATCGGAAAGTTCAATTCTTAAGGGGTTTTTATGTCCAGTACTAAGGACAAAACTGAAAAAATCAAAAAATCATAGAAAAATGTTTTTTTCTTCAAAAATTGAAATAGAATCTTTTTTATGGCAATATGAATTTTCGCTGTTTACAAGTTTTGTAATGTTATTAATTCCATTAGATTTCATAGTCCGATTCATAAAATAACTTCTTTCAATTAATTAATCTTGAGATAAAAAATGGGACAAAGAGGGAAATTTCGAACGGTTGTGGTTTGAGATGGAGAATTGGTGTCCGAGTGGATCGAAGACAAGATAGCTCAAGTGGTAGAGCAGCGGCGTATTTAGCCGAAGGTCGTGGGTTCGAATCCCGCTCATTACACTTTTTCATTTCAACCAATACCTAACATAAAGATTAATTAATTGAAAAAAATGTTATTAATGTTTAGTTATTAAGATTTGAACGGTTTTTTAATGGAAATATATTTGATAAATTATTGCAGTGGTGAGAGGTCTTCTTTCAATGGGAGTTTGTTAAAAAGACAATATTTATTTAGTTAATAATACACATAATTATGTTACTGTTTATATGTACATTTTTCAGTTTAAATAAATAATGCAATGTCACCAATAAAATTTACATAAGAAAGATTTTTTGTTAACTTAAATTTTTTTTATTAATTTTTATTTTTTATTAATTACGGAGTACGTATCGGGCACCAACTTGTTTTTGTCAAGGGACAGAAATTGAGAGGGCGACGGTCGGAATGGAACCGACGACCAGCACGTTCGACAAGCTCAACCATACCGGCTCGGCTAAAAGATCATTTGGTTTGCTATGACATTTAAAACATCAATGGGAAAAGATTTTCACACAAGAATTGCTGAAAACTTGGCTCTGTTTGCTAATACTTCACGATAACCGGAAAAATTACAGGAGTGAAGATAAATGGAAAAATTGTGCCAAGAAAAAATACACATTAGTCAGCTATTACAGAAAAAAAATCAATTACACGTATATTTTCTATTACTGGGCATTAAAACATATAATGAAAAATCCAAATAACTCCCATGAAGACAGGTACAATTTACGAATTATGTGTAGTTTCGTGTCTTATGAGTTCCAGACTTATTGCTGGTCTCTTACAAAATAGGTAGAGAGATGTAAAGAGCTATGTAAAGAAGCTTGAATGGAAACAATAAGAAGTGAAAAAATCTAACTCTAGACATAATATTACAGGGAAATTATCAAAATACAAAACTCGAATTTGGTCATCTGTTCAAAATGACAGATGAATGGGGCCAAACTCATCATCTGGGAAACAATAATAAAGGGCGCGAAAAAATATGTTGGTTAGAGAATTACAACTCTTACCAGGCGCCTTTGATCCCAAAAGACAGGCTACGGACGTGGGATCACCGATACATATGAACATTTTTTGGTGATAGGTTTGATAGGTTTTGATTTTTTTTAAATATGGTTTTCTTGAGTATGCATTTGAAGGTTATTCTATATCAGTTGATTTGGACAAAAAACAAACCAGATTTGTGTTAAGCATTCTTCTAAGTCTCATAAAACGAATTTTTGTTGAAAACAATAATGAACATTTTATTACTCGATTGGCCAGAAGCAATTCTCCCGTGTTCCTCTTAAAAATAATTAACTACTCAGGATATTCTACAAATTTCACGATATTGAAATCGTTTCAAAGGTGGTAAATCTTCTTTCGGATTATTCAACAAAGTTCAGATTTTATACCGTTAGCTAGAAAAATAAGGATGAAAATCAACAAAAAAAACCCTAATACGTATTATTTTTTTATCTCTAGTACGCATTTGTTTACAGAGGACAGGTTTGCGCTAATACTTCGCGTTTATCGTGTACTCTTGCTAACATTTTCTATAAAAGAGGAGTTAATGTAAAGTTAACACTATTTTTGTAATTTTCTATTACCTCAATTGCATTTCAGTACAGAAAACTATCGAGATTGTTTCTTGCTAAAAAATATTTTGCTAGGTTTGCTTGGTCACAAAATATTATACGTGTTGTATGTCAATAGAAACTCAAATTGGTCGTTCTCAGATTGACTCAGATTTTCGTGTTTTAGCAAAGAAGGATAAAAAAAAAGTTTCATCTACCTTCACAAACCACAAATTTTTGGCTATTAAAAACCCTTAATTTTTTGAAATTCACAAAAATATTGCTAACTTTGAAACGACTCCACCCATCCAAGGGAAACTTTAGACGGATTTAGAATAATTAAACCTACATGCAATGGCCTAAATCTGATCTCCGTAAATAAATCCCGAAGTTTAAAATAAATTATTTGCGGAGTTTTTTTTTACTTCGTCCTTTCTACTCACATATTCTAGCATAAAACCCAAAAATTGTGGACTAATGACGAGAAATACAGCCTTATATCAATCTCAGAGCAATTATGAATTGTTTTTATAGTACAACACAGGAAATGGAATAAAAACAAATTTACCTCGGCTTATTTAGCCCAAAAGTTCTATTTTTATTTACTAAAACAGTGCTATTTATAGGTTTCAAGGGTGCTTATAACGAATCCGAATTTTTTGTTTCGGCTTTTAAAAGAAATCTTTCTGGCCTACTTTTCTGGAAGCGTGTTTAGGTTTTTATAACTTTTTATATATCTAATTTCATAAATTACAATCTTACATATTTTTTCATACTCTACTGGATTTTCAACGTTAAACGATTGAAATTATGCTTAGAAAAATATTTAATATAAGAAATTCTATGAATATGTTTTCTACAAGAAAAATTGTATGTTTGGTCATCAACTCCCAATTGTATTCTCCAGAAGTTTAGAACATTTAATTAGAAACCTTTGAGTCAGAGATTGTAATTTTAAAAGTTCAAATATGAAACAATTATTTACATATTTGTTATTAAAAAAAAATATTGACATGACAAATACAATATCGTCCATAGGATAACGGAAGACTACAAAGAAAGTCGTTTAAATTGTTTTTCCAAAGAAGTCTTCCATTGATTAGTAATTTAAATCCTGATAAAACTTTTTCATATCAAAACAAAGGCTGCAGTAAAAAATAAATAGCATTTCAAAACTTGTAAACAAACTGCTATTAAGGCCATTAAAAAACGAATTTCCTATTGGCCCGATTTCCTATTAAAACGGGTTTTTTAAGGAAGTAAAACGATTTCTATATATATAAAATTTATAAAAGTTTTACTTTTACAATTTTTTTGTTGTTATCTTTAATCCTAATATTTCTAAAGTTTTCAAAATTATTCGTAATTCATTAGAGTTCGTGGTCCGATAGAGCGAATAACGTTTTTCAATTAATTAATCTTTATAGGCATTGGTTGAGATAAAAAGTCAGTGTCACGAGCGGGATTCGAACCCATGACCTTCGGCTAAATACACCGCTCTACCACATGAGCTATCGTGTCTTCGATTCAAAGGTGGGGTTGAGATGGGAAGTTAGTGTCCGATAGTAGTCACGATAGCTGAAGTGGTAGAGCAGCGGCGTATTTACACGAGGGTCGTGGGTTCGAATCCCGTTCGTGACACTGACTTTTTTTGTCTCAACAAATGCCTTATATAAAGATGAATTAATTGAAAAACATTCGTAATCATCGAGAACGTAGTTCAAATTAACACAAATTAATTATTATGTATTAATACAAGATACTGTACTATTCGGTCTAATTTAAATTAAATTTATAATCTTATTATTATTAAGTGTGAATCTTACTATTGGAGTATGGCCGGTCGGGCATTACGGTATAATAGAAATTGTGGGGATTTCATGTTTTGTTGAATATTAAATAGCTGGAGACATATTTTTTAAAAGAAAAAGGAGTCGGAGAAAAGATTTATTGGTATTTAACTTTGGAATTACTTTCAACCGTTTATTCGATTGTTGTTCATCAAGATGGTATAAAGGAATGGAATCATTTCAATATAGTACTTTTTATTTTAATTGAACGAGTTTGAATACTTGTAAAGCTCATATAGTATATTCAGTCTCATTCAATTTAAAAATAGATGTTGTTTTAATAATGCTAAAAAAATGTACAATATAAAGCATAAGTATTAGTAACATTACAAATTAATATTGTTATTCACTATAGCTCGCATAGTTTTACTGCACAAATTTGAGATTAAAAAGAGATAAACATATATACATAAAAAAAGATGATTAGAACTTCCTTCTTAAAACGAAATAAACCAATTAAGCAGTTAATCGTTTAATTTATTACTTAAGCGTATTTATATTTTTCAAGATGAACGCAAAGCCATTCATTCAAACACTGATGCGCTATTGTTACTGGGTCTATCCTGCAAGAGGTCGTATGGCAAACCAGGAATAGGTGATGGTGGTGGGAAAGTGAGGTTTGTCGTTATTAGCCTGGAAAATTTGCAATGAACATTGCGGTGTACGACATAAGCAAGAAACAGCAATTATGTTAAGCACTCACGTTTCCGAAGTTCCTAAGGCGGTTTGAATGGTACCTAAATTTGCTTCTGTGCGGTTTAAGAGCGTCGGCTTTCTGGAAGCAAAGAATGCGTTATATTTTAAAATATTTATTTGGTTAGGTATCTTACGATTTTGGAACCGATGAATTCGTGGATTTTCTGTGTTGATGAAGGCCTTTGGATTTTTTCAGTGGTCGTTTCAACCATGACCGTTACGTTATGGTTTGTTTCAACTGATGTCGAACTGTTATCCGATATTTCCTGTACAAAAAGAAACAAAGATTTGTTGTTAAATAAAATTAAAATTAACGTATAATGACAAAACAAAATTAAAAACCTCAGAGGTCAATTTTTCCGTTTGAATGGGACGCCTATTGACTTTGAGCGGATTCGTTTCTTTTTCATTTGTCGGTATTTCGTCTAATTTTAAAACTTTCCCCCTGTATTTCACTTTCCTCAGTTTTTCCCTTATCGGTTCCAGCGGTAGTTTTCTAAAAGGGGGCTTTTCAGATTCTTTCGGAGCAATTTTCGTCTGAAAGTAAAACGAAAAAATTCCTTTTATCTCCATAACTCGTACAAATAAAGATTGATATTTTAACTTTATCTTAAATTAATTAAAATTTTTACCTTAATATCTTGTAACCGTCCTTGATCACCGAGTTTTCCGGTCATAAGCGACATAAAACTACCGAGTGCATGCTTCCTATGTCCGAATTCGTACTCATCCTCATCGTCCTCCTCCGACTGAAATTCTTTGAGATTTCTCTATAAACCACAACAAATTATTTCATTTTAATTTCATTTATATGTGAACAAACTGCTTTCAAAAAAATTAATACTATTTCGCAAGCATCATAAAAACCGAGAAATCATAATTTGAAAAATGTTGTAATATAAATTGTATCTTGAATTAAATTCACTAATTTCGTGGTCCTCTTGACCAATTAATACATTACAATTAATTAAGGTTTTTAGTTGAGTTGAAAAAAAGTTAATGGCATGAGCGGGATTCGAACCCACGATCTTCGGCTAGATACGCCGCTGCTCTGCCACTTGAGCTATCGTGACCTCGATCCACTCGGACATCAACTTCCTATCTCAACCCCACCTTATGAGTTTTCCCTCCTTTTTACCATTTTTCAAATGTCGTGTAATCGGATTGGATTCTCGACGACAAATGAAATGGCCACGGAGAGCTTTAGTGATGTGTACTTCATTTTAATTCTTAAATTCACTCATTTCGTGGTCCTCTGGGCCAATTAATACATTACAATTAATTAAGGTTTTTAGTTGAGATGAAAAATGGCAAAAAGGAGGGAAAACTCGTAAGGTGGGGTTGAGATAGGAAGTTGGTGTCCGAGTGGATCGAGGTCACGATAGCTCAAGTGGTAGAGCAGCGGCGTATCTAGCCGAAGATCGTGGGTTCGAATCCCGCTCGTGCCATTAACTTTTTTCATCTCAACTAAAAACCTTAATTAATTGTAATGTATCTTGAATTATAAATATGAATTAGGGAAACATTAATACACAAGAAAATTTTATAGATTATTTTTTTGGGGTAAAGTATTGAAACAAATTGGAAAAGCTCTTAGATATTAAATGTATTCGTAATTATATTGATTTATTGTATTTATAAAAAAAATAAAAAAATAAACAATTCAAACGTTTTAAAACTCAGACATCATTATACTAACTAATGTGCTTAAACCTATCAGTATTGGTAACAAAGGTGTAATAACAACCCTGAAGAAGGAATACATATATAACAGTCATCTTCACTAACAGCCAAGTTGCACTACAGGCGTCTATCTAATTGGTAGTAAAGTCCAGAGCTGTTCGGGATTGCAGCATTGCACTGTCAGACATTGGGAGCAAAAATAAAATTGCTCAGGTCGAAGAGAGGCCTATAAATCGGCCGAGGAAAGTTTTATGAGAACACCTATCGGCCCTGAACCCTTTTGGGCATACCAGATAGCCTAAAACTAGATAGAAATAATGGGCTAAGCAGTAAGTCCTCGATTCGATGGGAATGTTTTTTAAAGCAGTAGCATCTGAAAGAATTAACAAAATTGCAGATGTTAACGGAAGAACTATATAACTTAGGTTGTGTTAGGACAAGAATTGTATCCATTAATTTCTTTTTATATAATGTCTTGGTTGAGATGAAAAACGTAGAGTCACGAGCGGGATTCGAACCCACGAACTTCGGCTCCAATACACCGCTGCTCTAACCACTTGAGCTATTATGACTTGAGCTAAGTGGTTAGAGCAGCGGCGTATTGAGCCGAAGTTTTTAACTTTTTCATCTCAACCTAGACCTTACATAAAAAGAATAATTAATTGTAATAATTAACATTATTAATTAGACCACTAAATATAAATGGATTAGAATTGTAGTTGCCTTTGATTCTGGACACTGCAGACTGTATGCATTGTAAAAACAAGCTTAAACAGAAATTTCCAGTAAGAAAAATAAACAGCGAAACAAATATTTTATTGGTGTCAATACCTGTACAGAATGACATTCCTACTCCTGGGATTTGAAAAGGATAATAACTTGACTTTGTGATTTGATAAAAAGCGTTAAGCAAAAATAAAAAGCATTAAACAACTGTACATTAAAGCCGCAAGAATTTATGAATCAAACCAGATCAGTTGTACGACTGCTGGAAAATCGCTCTTATTTTCCTTTCACAATTAAATAGGTACTTTATAGCGCGAAAGTGAAGCCGATATAAACTTAAAAATTGAAAGTTTGGTGTTCAGCCATATCCACCGCATCCAAACTGCCAAATCCTTAAACGTAGAAAAACTTGGTACTCCACTTTATGTCCTCCAACGAAACACCACGAATATGCTTTTTGTTCATCACAAGTTTCATAAAAATTCTCTTAATCACCTTCAATTCTCAAATTCAGAAACTCGCATCTCAACAAATTTTTTCTAATCCTCTTCGTTGACTGAAGCTACGATGACCTACTCAATGGTAGTGACTCAATTATTATTTCAATGGACAACATTGGAGTACTGCCAATGAGTAATTTTCCTACTTATGTTTTTAATTGTGTATTTATATTCTTTCTCAGTGCACCGAATTAAAGGTAGTTGCACAGTACTGCAAATTTTAAAAAATCCTCAAGTTAATTGTTTAACTATTTGTTCGTTAACACGGTGTAGGCAATTTTTTATGGATATGGATTAAAATGTTATGTGGTTGATGCTGTGGATTGGCCAGAACAACGGATGACCAATCAAGTATTGAATCCCGATAGATTTGAGTTCATTTTGTTCAGATCATAAAGCTCAAGTTTTCATTTACTATTTATTTTGACCAGAGCATTAAGCTCAAGTTTTCATTTGCCGTGAGAAAACATTACCGAAACCTTGCCTCCTTTTCACATAGCTCACTCTCTCCCCACTTGTCCAATTATATTTTCTCGAAGAGAGGAGTTCCCCCCCCCAAGGAATTAAATCAAAATTTATTACAAGCAAAAAAGCCAAAAAAGATAAAAAGTTTTAAAGTGAAAGCTTACCATGCGCTTTTGTCGGCGAAACTGTTCACTTATGTTACGATCTATTTCCAGATTTTGAGGAGAACGCCTTTTTCTCCTAGCAGTAACATCCTCCTAAAATAAACGCCGTAGAAAAAAAAAATATATCAACAGTCAAATCTTTAGAGTTTTTATGTTCATTTTTTTAAAATGCGATCATAGACATTTAGAAAAATCTGTATTCAAACGATCCTAAAATATCCTGAAAAGTAGGACCTTGATTATTGATGTAAATAAGTGATATCTTATCTATCAAAATTTACATAAAAGTTAACCAAATCAATTAGATCGACTTGAAAGGGACAAGAGTGGGGGAGAGGAGTGCTCCAGAATTATAATTACACAGAAGCGTTTGTGATTAATTTTACACATTTATTCATCGTACTAGTTTGCCCTCGAAGTTCAAAATTGCAGTTCTGCTCGCAAAAAGCATTAATATGTTCAAGTAAGGAAATATGTCTCTAACTGTCTGTATATTCTGTACTATTTACAGAGTAAACTGTTAAATTACGACAAAACGCTGCCCTCGATCAAGGACAGGCTTGCACTTTTGTATTATATAATAATTTCAATGAATATTTAAATAAATTTATTAAGTTTTGAAAGGTTGATTCCATTCAAACTGTAAATTCTTCAAATATTGTCATGCAGCTTGGTAAATGTGGAAAAAGAGAGAATCTGTAATTTATTCGTCACCATTCATTTTGGTCTGTTTTTCCTCACTGTGTCTGTGAAACGCGTTTCGACATTTCATCATCTTTTTTATCACGTGGAAAGTGCAAGTTTTGTTTCGGCTTAATCTTGTCTTGGCGTCTTTAATGGGTTAAGTATGGGTTCTTTTACTGTTGATAAGTTGTGTATTTATAAGTGTTAGTGTTGAATGTATCATGTCTTCACATCATCAAGGCTTCTAGTAAGTCCTTCCTTCCGTTGCGACGTTAAGTGACATGTCTGATGTTGACAAAGCCAATTCCTCCATCAGACATACTCCTCCAATCCCGACCTCAATAATAATTTTAACGAAAATGAAATCCACGGCTACCTAACAATGCCCCTAACCATGTCGCTTCCTCCAAAAGAAGTTTTTTCTTTTACGTTAGGTTAGGGATAGGGATAAAAAATAATATAATAAAATAAATAAATCTGGTGCATGTATCTTCTTATGTGGCAGTGCCCTGTCAGGCGTCTAACCAGAATCCTGGTACGGTTGCGGTTGTCTTCCAGTAATTCTTTTGTAACTTTTGCGGATCCTCCTATGAATTTTTCCGCGTGCCTCATAACTGTGGTATTGTTCCACCAGGTTTTGGATCCTTTTCTAAAATGTATCCTATTTTGGGTAGGCTGCAGAGCCACAGTAGGCTTCAGGCCCCCTCTTTGGTCAACATGTTAACTTTTCCTTGCCTCTATGCCCCGAATGTCCAGGTCGTTGGTACCACTGACTTCCGTCAGTCTATCTTCCTGGAATGTATTCCTAGCCTTTTTATGTCTCTGGCGTTTATCAATCGCGATGATTTCAGGCTTGAAAACTGTAGCGTATTTACCTAGGTTTACCGTCAGTTCGGTCTTTGGGTTCATCCTGAAAACTCCAGCTCTCGTACCGTTGTCGGTTTTGGAGCCGTCAGTTACCAGTAGGAATTTGCCTTTAGCGCTGTTCCTCAGGCCCTTTCTTCCTGTTCTGGTATCAGTACTTTCTACTTTTTAGTAAAATTGTACGTTGGAGTAGTGGCATCAATTGGCCCGTATCTCTTCCCGCAGTGTCCATTGTTTATTTACATGGGGTCGTGGGTTCGAATACCGCTCGTGGCACTACCTTTTTTATTTCAACCAATACTTTGTCAATAATGATTAGTGATCATGGTGGATTTCTATGGGGCGATTCATTTAGTTTGATCTTCCGTGTATTTTTTAAATAAGGTTTCATGTTCTTTACATCTCTCTTTTATTTTTCCTCTTACTATGCGATAAATTTTTCTCTGCATTTGCAAGTATAGCGGATATGTCGTTTCTAACATTAATTAAATGTGTGTTCCTGTGTGATTTTTTTCTCTAGTATATTCTTATGTTCTTCGGCTTGTGCGTGTTTATTTGTCCTCGGATAAAAGTTTTATCGCTGTCTCTACATCTATTACTGTTCGGTTGAGGTTTATCTCTGTGGTGGTTGATTTGATATTATCTGAGATTTTTTGTACGAATAAAGCAATAATATTGTAATAATATTAACAAATATTTTCTAATGATCAAAAAACTTACTTTTACTCGTTCTGTTGTTCCGTAGATCAGAACTTGTTCAGTAGCAGATAAAGTCAAGTTATTCGTAATACTTTCAAGAGATAGAGTCGTTGGAATTTCTGTTGTTGTAATTTCCGCCTAATTTCAAGAAAAAATTATTATATTATGGCCAAAATTTAATTAATATTAGATTATTTTACCATAAATGTCGGTTTTTCGCTTTCCAAAGTCGTCGATAAGCTGCTAGTCGTGTTTTCCACTTTTTCTATCCTTCTCTGTAAAGGTTAATTTATGAGATTCATTTATCACAATTTAGAACAAAAACGACATACTTTGCTTGTTGAAGTTTTTGTTTTTTTCCAGTTATACCGTTCAGGAATATAGTAGGACGGCATGTTCCAATCGTCATTTTCCTGTGTAATTCAATTAAAGTTAAGCTTTTAAATTATCCAGTTGAAACTGATAGCCCGATATGTATATAAAAACGAAAAAAATGCATAATTAATGTTAAGGTACCTTGGCATGATGCATTGGCCTGTTTCTGTGTACCTTCCTGTTTTTACCGTGTCCCGTCGAATTGAGAAATCTCGAAAAAACTCCATAGTTGTAAAGTTTGGGCGAAGACTAAATTTAGAATTTTTTTTAATTCGATGACTTTAGTACAAAAGTAGTTTTTTTATTTTTCTATCATACCTGCCATGAGGTACGGTGGTTTTTACGCTGTGCGACGAGTTTTCTTCGCGTCGTCACGGCACGCGTAGTTGCAGGAGTAGTTGTACTAATGTTCAAAACGTCGCCTTGCAATCCGAGAAAACTGGGCTCCACCTCCGTCGTGGCTTCAAATTTAGAACTGACAACCGAGGAAGATGTCGCAGTCGTAGACTAAAATTTATATACATTAATACAAATCAATAAAGAAAAAGACAGCCTTCGATACCTGTGGTAGTATTTCATGGCTTCTCTTGAACACCTTGGGCTTCATTTTTCCGTTTTCATTAAAAAACTCCGGAAGGAATATCATTTCAAAAGCTTTTTTTCCGATGTCTAGCTAAAATAACACAATCATAAATTATTCAATGTTCGATCGTTTCCGATTATTTTGAACAGCCTATCTTTTTTGAACAAACACTCTGGATTAAGTATGGTCTTGAAGAAGAAAGCAAATACTGTTGCTACTCCAAGCTTTCGACCTATTTTAAGGTCATCAATTGTAGGCAATGCTGTTACAGTCCTTGGCAATGTTGGGACTGAACTGGTCTTCAAGGAAATTTGAGATCGCCTTTGAAAACTTAAATATGTTAATCTGTAGACATATTTTAGGTTGTTTTGCCCTGATAATGACCATAAAATAGGTCGAAAGTTTGGCAGTAGCAACTACATTTGGTTTTTTCTGCTTCAAGATCATACGTTGATATAGTGTTCGTAAGCGAAAAATTGATCGATATTTCTAATACTGAAAACAGTATTTTTTCTGTTTGTCAGACTAATAGACAGAGCATTAAGGATATCGAAAAACTCAAACGCGTCAGTCAGATCAAAACAACAATAAGCAGGCCTACATAATAGAGAACTGGTCCATCACTCTGTAGATCCAATAGAAAATAATAAACTATTTGTATTTAAGGTAATACTTTTACTATTATACAGTTTAAAAAATAACTTGAAGTATTATAAGTTTATAAGAGATATATGGTGGAAGGTGTAAATTGACTGACGTTGATGCCAATGTAAATTTAGGAGAATTTGACCCCTTGAGAGCTATTGCATTCTTGTACTTTTCGCTCATACTGATGCGCTCCAATGGATGAAGGATTTTTTTAATTATATTGTACGTCGCAAAGCATTTTGTCCTGAGGATAATTTTAGCATGTCTGTTAATTTATTCGTTGGGGCTCTTATATATCCTCTGCCTTGTCGAAACATCTGCCATGTTGTTTGATATCAATATTTTGTAATTGCCCTTTTTGTCAGCACTGTCTTTCTTCGAGAATCCTCTTCCTGCTGACTTCGCAGAATTTTATAGTTTCTTTCCTAATCTCACCAGATGGTTTTTGGTTTGTGTCGAGTAAGTGAATCTCATTGTTTTCTCACTTTTACTACGAATAAAGCAAGAATCTTATTTCTTTTCTAACATATTCGTTGATAGTATGGATCCCTATACCACCAAAGGGTAACAATTTCCAGGGGCATCCATTTCTTCGGTCCCCTCTACTCCTGCATACACTGGGGCTGAAAAGAGTGTGGTTTTGTTATTTGCGCCTAACCTATTTAGTTTGCAATTCTGTAATTGGGGCCGGGCTATCCGACAGCAATGTAAAATATTCCACCCCGCATGTTCTTGCCCACCAGTGTACCAAAAATAGTGTTTTTTTTACTTATTCTTCTATTGGGTTTTCCTCTTTCTCACTATTTTTTGGAACTAATGTTTGTCTGTGAGATTTGGTTAAATTCAAATAACCTGCTCATATCGACCTTAGTAGCTTGTCATTCCATTTAAGTTTCCATCTCTTTGGAGAGCTTTCTTATTGATGTTAAGTAAGCATTGATATTTTAGGTGTCACACAGGACATATCGTCCACTACCAGTTAGGTAGTTGGTTAATGCAGAACTCTATGTGCAAATATATGTAGGCCTTCCTAACCCCTCAATCACCATGGTTCCTTAAGGTATTATGATATTATCAAAGTTTTAGGTTTAAATAATATACGTTTAATATTTTTGAGCTTACGTTTTGTCGAAAGTTGACACTTCTTTTTACTATCCGCCTCGACGGTCCTGTTAAGCTTTTCTCAAAGAATTCAGTTATGTAACTCCCATCGAAGTCCTTTTTTTTCGATTCGTCCTGTTAAATGATAATAAAGTTAAAGCTTGACTGTCTTTCGAGATTACTCAGACACAACTTACCGGCACTTCTTCAAAAGGGTTTCTTGGATTGCTAAGAGAATGAGTTAGGAGTAGTTTGAGGCTTAGCGGCACTTCCGTGGTATAATGTCCAGTCTGATACAAAAAATGTTTTATTAATTTATTCAATATTTATTATTATTAAATTAGTAAGTTTAAATTATTCTTTGTACATATGTAATGCCGCCTTCTGTCAAACCCCTTTTCAAGGAACGAATAGCCATTTCAGCCCTCCGGAAGAAGTTAAGTTTTGTGGAATTCTTGACAGTTGTCTATTGAAAACATAAATCCATTGAATTATTTATAACAATTAAAATTTATGGATCATTACCGCTTGTGTGACGGTTTCATTTATTCCCGGTGAAGCAGTTTCCGTGCTACCTTTTGTGACCTGGAAGTTAACGTAAGACACAGTTTCTTTTTAGTTAATAAAATAGTTTATGATAATATTAGAAAAATAGTTATTATTGGTTATGAAAAAATAAATTACAAATGAACGTTCTGTTGTTGGCTTGGCGATTGTCGAATGATCCGTATGGGCGTCTGAAAGCTTTTTAACCAAACTTTTCAAAGCTGTGCTGTTGTAATCTAACTTTTCGAACAATTTGTTGCTTGCGTACGCCTATTAAAATCAGAAGTTGTATTAATTTGTTTGAACAGTTTATTTTGTAGATATCGGCCTACTTGGTGTCTGTCTGTCAGGTCGGACTTCGAATACGAGCGCATCTGGTCCTGATACATTTCGAATTAGTTGAAAAAGCAAAGGCAAGTTATCGAATTTCGAATTGTGATAATTACCTCGATTTGCGGGAATGTGAAAGGTTCTGGGGTCGTTTTTCCCGTGGATATAAAAGACGATAAAGGAACCTATTAAAAAAAAGAGTCGAAAGTAAAAAAATATACTTAATAAGAAATAACAATAAATTGTGTTACTTTAACATGGTGGACATGGAAGATCCTGAGGCGGCTCGGGGATTTACGGAGTGGCAGGAGAGGCGGGAAGTTTTTCTTCTGTCGATGTCTCATCGTGCTTCGCCTCTTTGAAGAAGGTTCTGGATCCACCTTGGGTGAAAAAAAAAACTTTAGTAAAATTTTGGCTTTAGGTTTGTAAAGCGTTCTTACAGTCGAGTGATTCTGATGGTGGAAACTTTTCAAAGAAGGAACAGTGACATCGGATTCTGTAGGGGTTGAGTTTGTTGTTGTCGGCGGTGCGGTAGTAGTAGCTTGATTACATATCTAAAAATAAATAAATGAATATTACTTATTATTAAATGTTATTATGTCAGTTTAAAATATTAGATTTATTTTGTACCGGAGCTTCTGTGCTGGTCGAAACTAGTTTTTTTCCTTTGGACGTTAAAGACGGTTTCAATGTTCCAGAATATCGCAACTAAACAAACAAAATAATTGTAATTATTGATTGTTTATTTACTAGGTATTAACCTGAACGCTTACTAGAATATTTTTTTGGATATACATACATGGTAAATGTATATGTGTATGTGTATGTGTATGTGTATGTGTATGTGTATGTGTATGTGTATGTGTATGTGTATGTGTATGTGTATGTGTATGTGTATGTGTATGTGTTTATGTATGTGTATGTGTTTATGTATGTGTATGTGTATGTATGTGTATATGTATGTGTATGTGTAGCTTAAACGTTATATATATAAAGTTTAAGCTTTGCCAAAAATGATCCCATACAAACCCCAAGTTAATTTTGGCTAGGAATTGTTTGGTGGTAACAGACATAACTTTCTCATCAAGCTGGGAAATGACACTAATTTTGTTATTTTAAATGAGGATCCCATACTTTTTATCGTACAATTCGATTCCAGAGCTTATTTTATGCTACTTTTACTGGAATTCAAATTTTGATAAGATCGACCATTTCTGAGTTATGTCAGACTGAAGACGAGTGGGGGGTGGTATGCTTTTTTGTAACAACAAGATGGCCCCCCCTTTATTTCGAAAACGATTAACATTTGCAAAAATGGTTTATTTTTTTGACAATTTGTAAGACCATACAATCGTTTCACGATTTTGCACTGAACTTCTATACAGTATCTGCCTTGAAAAATTTCAAGGTGTGCATTCCTGAAGAGCTGTGAAATTCAGGTTATTTTTCCTGGTGAATGGCTGGGGCAGCTTCTTTTTTATCCTCTTGTTTGAAAGTGAATAGAGAAAACGTTTTAGTCGTTTTTAATGATTTTATAGGTGAATAGTTTACTAACTGTTTACAAGTTCTGAAAACTTATAGATCCTTGTAGTAGTCTTGTTTTGGTAGAGACAGCAGTAAGATTTAAGACTCAAGACAAAAAATAAAATAAATAAAAGTAAATCGCTTTCGCATTGATAGAAAATTGTCCAAGTGGTATGCCATCTACCCTCAGCCTTTTAATGATGTGGCACCATGTCAATAAAACATTTATAACAATTAGATAAAAATAATATCATGTTTAATAAAAAACTTCTATCAGAATAGGTTCTGATAGAACAAATGACCAATTCTACTTGTAGGATCATGTACAATTGAAAAAATTACTTCCAACTTTTTGTTGTTCCATAGACCTTAAACATTGCGCATATCTATTAAATTTTATTAAAACAAACTTATCATATTTGCATTCTTTTTAAACAACCTTTCTTTTTCCTTAAAACAACCGAGATCTCAGTTTTATATCACTCGTAAGTGTAAGTTTCAGCACGACAACTTTTTCCATTATTCACAGGGTTTTATATTTTATTATAATTAGTATTTCTTCTCCATAATATATTTTATATAATGTTTAGTATTTCCGAACCCAAATTTCGCGCAAATTGTCAGATAGATGTTTTCACCTTTCCACTCTTAGAGAGAAAATATCCTGGGAAGCGCTCAGGTTAACATCCTGATAAAAACATTGTGATAAAATAAATATTTTTTTACTTACGAAAGAAAGATAATTTTTTCTCATATAACCCGCTTTTGCATGATACTGAAAACCAATACAGCCGGTTTAATTAAATAGACAATAAATGACATCAATTAATGATATGTATGAAGACAATGGAAAAATAAGCCTTTTTCCGTTTTATTAATGATTTTTAAAAATAAAAGTTATTTAAATATTACAATTATTGTTAGATAGAAGTATTAGTAGTTTTGATTTAATTATTTCATTTTTAGTTGTTTTATAGATTAAGTTTATACTGGAAACGACTTTGTTTAGATAGGACGATTTCAAAAATTTAATAAAAAGGACAATCTTGCTAAAAATGTCCATCTCAGTTTGACCAGTTAAAGAAGGAATAAATAAAAATGAAAACTTAGCAGAATAGGAAAGAAATAGAATAAATTGTAAAGGTGTATAGGAGGAGCAAGCCTTCAAGGAGAGTACGTTTGCACTTGTTATATTTAAAACTTCCGACGTTTTTGTTTAAATAAGGTTTTTTTTAAAGTTTTCCACTTTCTAACAGATCATTTAGTAAATTTAATTAGCCACAACAAAAAAGAAACAACATTTTTATTCAACAGTATACCGATCGTTGTCAGTAAGATTTCGTGGTCCGATTGACCAAATAACTTCTCTCAATTAATTAATCTTTATATAAGGTATTGATTGAAATAAAAAAGGCAGTGTCACGAGCGGGATTCGAACCCACGACCCTCCGCTTAATCCGCCGCTGCTCTACTATTTGAGCTATCGTGACGTCGATCTACTCGGACACCTTCCCATGTTTTAGTGCAAAATAATGACTTTTAACCACTGCAACACTCTTGTAGTCAAAGTGGTTCTATGGATAAAACCAGTCAATCTAAAACATTTGGAGAACACCGAGAGAATATGTTCAGAAAAAGAACGACTATAAAAAAGAACATCAATATCACAGATAGGGTTAACACGGATATATATTCTGATAAGATATATTATAACGAAATTCAATATTTGACTTTGAGCGATTAAAGCTCATTACATTGCACTTTTAAACATTATTAATAAGTCTTTATCCGTAATGAAATAAAAAAGCTATTGTCACGAGCGGGATTCGAACCCACGACCTTCAGCTCAACACGCCGCTGCTCTAAACATTTAAGCTATCATGACTCGATTCACTCGGACACCAACTTCCCATCTCAACCCCACCTTTTGAATTTTCCCCCCTTTTTGTAATTTTTTCAAATTCAAAATTCGAAAGGTAGGTTGAGATGGGAAGTTGGAGTCGTGACACTGGCTTTTTTATTTCAATCAATACCTTATAATGTGCAAGAACGAAAGACGCATTTCATCAAATACCATACATTACAGCAAAACTGGGAAAGTTCTTTCCCTGGGATACTCAGCCCAACACAGTTTTACATACGCATACAACCTAAGAGAATTTATTGGGGCAGCACCAAGAATTTTTTAAAATTATATTACGGAATATCGTGCAAATAAAGATTCGAGCAAAAGGCTTGCAACTATGCAACTATCGGGTTGTCCGGAAAATAATGCAGGATTTTAAGTTTTCATTAAAAAAAATCTATATAAAATATTCTGTTTACGTTTACAGGATTACTCATTTGTATNTATTTTAATTAAATTTATAGAAAGAGGTGCGCATCCGTCGACCCATCGAAAAACCATGGTTTACAGGAACCCCTCAAGTAGGAACCTGAGCCTAGCCACTAATAAGCGTTTTTTGTTTTGTGTTTCTATTAATGAAAAACATTTAAGATTTTTAATTTGTACTTCTTGAATTGCAAAAGCACTTTTATGTAGGGTTAGGATGGATCGAAAGTTTGGTATGGAACGTTTGGAATTGGGGTGCGATTAGGTCAAGTGTTGTGTGGTTCCACGTCAGTCTGGTGTCTAGGTTAAGTCCTAAGTATCTGATTTGAACGGAAATCGATTGCTCAATGTTTTTGATGTACGGTTGAGAGCAAGGAAGTTTTTTCAATGTAATTTGTCATGCTCAAGACTATATTGGATATTGACGTTGCTTGAATAAAATAAGGATTAGAAGAGAAAATTTATCTGCATAGATGGTAGTGAGGTATGGTTATGTTTCAAAAAGTCAGCAGTATAAATGTTACACGCGATTTTTAAGTTTTAAATTTATAGTAATACTCACATTATTTGGTCCAGTTTTGGTGGTTGTTTTCTGTGTTTTTTTCTTTATAGAATTGCCCTTGTTTTGGTACAAGTATTTTTTCTTCGACGTCAAAGCGGATTGCGTCTAAAAAAATCATTTAATTGTATACAAAAAATTAAAAATATATGCTATAACACTGACCCCTTTTAAGTGTCCTCTACTCGCGTGGGTGAATTTCTGTTGACAAAACATACATAAAGTGTAACTTATGGTAGAAAAATATATGTTAAAATTACATACGTTTGTTGGTTTTTTAGTAGATTCTTTGGCTTTCTTTGTGACATGAAGTGGTAAAAGATTTTTCTTTGATTTTGTTAGCCTTTTAGTGCGTGGTTTTATTGTTGTTGTTTGAGTAGACTGCAATAACAATAACAAAATACAGTAATGAACCTTTGTTTGAATTTCTTGATTTGTCTAAATAATTAAATTTTCTATTATTTACCTTAGACGATTTAGTCGATCTCGATTTGAATGGTTTGGTTTTATTGACATGCTTTTTATTAAAATGGGGTTTTATTTTGTACGTTGCCATTTCCATAAATAACCACCGTTTTGTAGTCGTTTTTGGCGCATTTGTGGTTAGGACATTTTTCACAATTTTTCGGTTTCCCTTGAGTGCCTTTGTGGTTGATTTTTTATCATGTTTTCTTAACGATGTCTCTTGCGATGTTTTAGTGCTGGGAGATATGTTTTGAGATATTTTTTGCGTTATTTGCATAGTTGTTTTCAGAGATCCTTTCAGAGTTGTTTTCAGAGACGTTTTGGGATATGTTTTCGGAGACGTTTTCAGAGACGTTTTGGGCTTTATTATCTAAAATTCACGATAATGTTTATGAAATATACATATGGTGAAAATCAAAACTTAATGCAAAAAAGGTGATGTTTATTTCAATTGATAAAGAGAAAACCAATTTTTAAGTAGCAAATATTCAAATTTTATATATATTTTATGATGTTTTTGATAACATGCATTCCAAAATTGGCACTATTGGCAGGAATCAAGGCAAAAGGAAAAATAACATAATAACGTTTCTATAAGTTCAATCCAATTGGTTGGATTTTTAGTCATAACGCATGCGTTGTGATGAGAAATACTAGAACTATAAAATCGTTATGAACTAGCTTTAACAAAAATTTAAAGTCACTAGTTTCGTGGTCCGCTTGACCAATTAATATCTTACTTGATTAAGGTTTTCAGTTGAGATAAAAAAGTCAATGGCACGAGCGGGATTCGAACCCAAAAATGGAAAAAAAAGGAAAATTCAAAAGGTGTGGTTGAGATGGGAAGTTGGTGCCCGAGTGGATCGAAGTCACAATAGCTCAAGTGGTAGATCAGCGGCGTATTAGCCGAAGGTCGTGGGATCGAATTCCGCTCGTTACACTGGCTTTTTTACCTTAACTAATAACTTACAGAAAGATTAATTAATTGAAAGTAGTTATTTGGTTAATCGGACAACGAAATCTGGTGGATCTAATCCATATATTTTTGGTTGTATAAACCACTATTTCTTGGTTAAATGTAACATATGAATTTTATGAACTATTATGTGGTCTCGTTGCTATTTATCTATTGTCTATTTAGTCTATTCATTTATATGTTGCGTTAAAAGTAAACACTTTTTAGAGCATTTTATTATTACAGACATTTCTGTTTATTTTTATCCCATGCTATATTTATATGTATATATANTATACTTCATTTTAAACTTATTAAATTCACTAGTTTCGTGGTCCGCTTGACCAATTAATATCTTACAATTAATTAAGGTTTTCAGTTGATATAAAAACAGAGATAAATTTTGAAAAATAGCAAAAAGGAGGGGAAATTCAAAAGGTGTGGTTGAGATGGGAAGTTGGTGTCCGAGTGGATCGAGGTCACGATAGCTTAAGTGGTAGAGCAGCAGCGAATTGAGCCGAAGATCGTGGGTTCGATTCCCGCTCGTGCCATTGACTTTTTTATCTCAACTGAAAACCTTAATTAATTGTAACAAATTTAAAGCTTCTACACCCAGATTTAGTTTAATAAAATTCGATGGCTTAATTGTAAAGCTGTGCACTATGGTGAGTCAGTCTCACTGAAAGACGTTGTATCATATAATGTTAAAACAAAGAATGGATAACGTAAAGTAAGACTGTTAAGAGGAGCATCTGGAAGACCATACATCTGTCCTGAACCTTTTTCTGTGTTAACAAAAACAAATATGGAATCCTTCATCACATAAGGGGTCCAGAAAAAAAGGCAAAAGGAGAGGTGAATAAATTCAACAAGTGCTATTCAGTACGCTTATGTTAAAACTACCCTCACCAAGACTGGCAAACCCTCAGCTACAATTGGAAAGGGGTACCCAGTTGAAATTGCAAAAATTGCCATTCTTTAATAGGATTTTTTACTTTTGCTATCCAACGATGATCCCTTTTGTCCCTTTGGGAAGTATTTTATCAATTAAGGATTTTTTCCGTCGTTTTGGGTGTCAGTTTACATAAAAATGGGGTAAAAAAGCACTACCAATTTCATGCAAAATGGTTTAAACATTTGTCATAAACACCGAATTACGTACACAAGTCATGATCTCGGAGACAATGACGTCCGCTAATTGGGACAATATGTGCATTGGTCAAGACTTTTCCTGACTAGACAAAGATCCAAAACATTAGCTTATTAAAAGATACATAATAGTAATAGTTTTTTCTTTGGCTGAAAACCTCAAAATCACAATTGTAAAAGATCATTATTTGATGTGGAATCGTTTTGCGTGTTTCCTGATCTCACATTACAAAAGACACGAGTTTTTAAATTTTAGCAGAAATGTATGTTTTAGAAATGTATTTTATGTGCGCGAGTGTTGGTAAATAATAGATCAAAGTGGTAAATAGGTTGAATCCATTTGAAAATCTAAAAAGCGTCCGTATCCTCTGAGTTTTGATTTCTGACTGATAACCCATTAACAAGGGGTAAAATTAAAATAAAAACATATACCGATTTGGTCGTATTTTCCAGTGCACCCCGAGGGACGCGTTGAAGATCTTGATCTTCCATTACTCCCAGAGGATTGAGTACGCTTTGTATCGAGGTGTTTGGCGATTGCTGAAATCATTTAAAAAAGGAAATGAATTATTCCTTTAAATGACATTCATATGAACTTTATTTATCGCGGATTAGATCAAATGGCAAAAACGGTTTATATATCTATATAAATTTAACTTCACTTTAATTGAACTTACTAATTGTCAAAAGTCACTGATACACAAATTTTTTTTATCAAATTGGGTACGTTTTAAAGTAGATTTAAAGATTTCAAACATTATGTATTCGATTCGTTTGAAAATTATTTCAAATCTATTTGGTTTTGTTGTGTTTTAGGAGAGCCATTGCAAGTTTGCAATGGAAACTTTGCTGCTTCAAAAGCCTTGCTTCAATATTTTCTTTCAGAGTGGTTATTAAGCTGATACAAACTTTGGGGCTCCTAATATTTAAACGGGTAAATTTAAATCAAACTAAATCATGCATAATTAAACATTTACGAAACAACCAATACTTACAGTAGAAATTGGAAAATTGTACACTGTATTTGTGGAATTATGAACGTTGTGAAAACTTGAGGTTTCTCTTTTTTGTATTTCGGATGACTTAATTGTTTCTGTATCATTTTTCGTGTCCTGTAAAACAAAAAACACAACAGTGAAAACATTGGAGCGTTTAATTTTAACAAAGTTGAAAATCAGAAGTGGCAATGTGCAATCCTGATATCGACTTTATTTAATGAACACGAAATATCGTTATAAAATAATAATCCATTAGAGTTCGTAGTCCGATTGACCTTCTTCGGCTACTTCTTTCTTCTTTCAATTAATTAATCTTTTTACGTACGATATTGGTTGAAATGAAAAAGTTAATGTCATGAGCGGGATTCGAACCCATGACCTTCGGCTAAATACCCCGCTGCTCTACCACTTGAGCCAACGTTACTTCGATCGACGAAGGTCGTGGGTTTGAATCCCGCTCGAGACACTGACTTTTTTATTTCAACCAATACCTTACATAAAGATTAATTAACTAAAAAACGTTATTTGGTTAATCGGACCACGAACTAAGAAAATTGAAGTATATCTTAACTAAAGTTCACCATAATTTGTCGCCGAGAATCGAATCCTGATCATACGACATTTGAAAAATGGCAAAAAAGAGAGATAATTTGGAAGGTGGGTTGAGATGGGAAGCTGGTGTCCGAGTGGATCGAAGTCACGATAGCTCAAATGTTTAAAGAGCGGCGTGTTGAGCTGAAGGTCATGGGTTCGAATCCCGCTCGAGACACTGACTTTTTTATCTCAATCGAAACCTTAAAGTTTTATTTATTATTTACATACCAAAAATGAAGTGATCCATGTGGATGTTGATTGCTGTACTTGTTGATCCATTGTGGCTAACGGACTCAGAGTACTTGGAACTTCGGTTGTCACCTAAGAAATGATTTGGCTTAATGTACTTTATCGTAAACTTTTATAGGGTTTAACGACAATCGATGAAACTTACATTATCCAAACTCCTTTTCTTACGATGGATAGAGTGTGGTAGGTCAACATCCTAAGTTTAAAAAAAAAGTTAAAGGATATAAATTACAGTTTGAAAAGAATGTCTTACGTCATATTCATAGGAAGAAAGTGCCTTTTCGCATCTGACGTTATCGATTAAAGAAACCATCTGGTCGTCGTGGAATTTCGCGTCTTGGTTTAAAATACCCCGAAGAGATGAATGGAAAGTCTAAACGTTGAATTGATTAAAAAATTTTTTTGAAAAATTCAGACCGCGTTAAATATTACCTCGCCGTTGTTGAAACTAGAACACAGCATTTTTTCCCTGTCGCTCAATGGCATCGTTTTGGCTATAAGGCCCATGAGCTTTGCCACAAATATTTTATTATCCTTCTTCGGCTGTAGATCCGTCATCAACACCTCGTGTGTGTTGTAGCGCACCGTTGTGTGTCTCGGCCTGACGCTGATCGTCGGCTTAGGCGTTGTCGTCTTGGTAGTTTCGGTCTGCAATTTTAAATTTACAAAATGATCAGAGAAAGAAAAAAATGTTCGAGGAAAGGAATGAAGAGTACTACTGCAGTGGTTCGCGTGCTGTGGTGTCTCCTTAGAAGGTTTTCTTTAGGCGTGCTTTGGCTCTCTACGTAATCAAATCCGTCGATTGTCGGTCTGAAGTTATTCTTAAGCGGTTTGTTCATTAATGTACGCTATTAAAAAATACAATAAAAATTAATATTTAATCTTTTAATTACCAACACATCGTTCAAGCCAACACAAATGCCATTTAGCAGCATTAAACGGACATAGTACATTGGCAAAAAAAAATCCTTTTTGACTTAAAATATGTCAACTAAATAGTTGAAGTGCTTTTTTTTTTTTTTTTTTCTCCTGGCCTTACCGTAGGTATTAGCCATCAACCAGATAGTTTGTTGCTTATTTGAGCTGTACTTATTTTACATATATACATACGCGCGCGCGCACACACACACACACACACACACACACACACACACACACACACACACACACACACACACACATATATATATATATCTGTGTATCATAAATAATCTTTTGAAAACTGTATGACAATCGGTCCGAACATGAAATCCGTGAATTTATAGAAAAGGGACTTGTCAACTGGACTAGCGATGAAACGGTTCGTTACCAAATGACGTTGACGTCCAGTAGGATTTGCGCTCCAGGGAACAAGGCGGGCTAAGCCTTGGTCAACATTTGGCAACATCCCGCGATGGCAACCTACTTTCCTTTCCGAAAACCAGCCCATTTTGAGATCTTCTTTCCTGGATATTTGCATTCAAAGAGGTGATAATCTTCCTATCTCACATTAGATGCTTAAGATTGTTTATGTAATTTATACAGAGGTAATGAGAATTAGAGGGAGACCAAACACGCATGTAGATATGTGTATACAGGGTGAATTGCTACTCGTGCTACAAACTTCTCCAGTAGATTCTTCACCCTAAAATGAACAAAAAAGTTCATATTGTCCATGGTCCGATTCTCAACCATTTCAGAGTAATTTCGCTTTTTATCGATTTTGAAAGATATCACGTCCTGGCGTCGGAAAATCGTGATATCTTTTAATCTAAACATTTCTCTGAAAATCTAANCCTAAGTATCGGAAACGTAGACCTATAATAATTACCTGTTCGGGCGCAGTCAAAGCTCTCTTGCCATCTGTTCCTATTTTTAATTAAAAACTTATTATAAGCGTCATTTATAGGTAGCTTTATATCTAGTAAAGTGCCTTCAGTAGTGGCCCGCTTAGCTAGTGCATCAACTATTTTATTGGGTACCACCCCTGAATGACCCTTAACCCAGCATATTACAATTTCTTTATTCATATTTTTAAGGTCGACTAAACATTGGATAATATTGGCAAAAATGTATTCCGTCTTAGAATTCACATTAAAGTTCTGGATTTGATTAACATAACTTAGATTGTCTGTTCAGATGCATATTTTTTGTGAATCCACAGATTTACAATGCTCTAGTGCTCTGTGGAGAGCGACTCCTTCAGCAGTAGTTGAAGTGCTAAATGGAACAAGTAACGTAAAGTAAACCATCCGTACTTCGGAGTCTTCGTTACTTACGAAAAGCGTCTTGAACGTTTGTGAGTTTTATTAGTTAATCCAAATACGTAAAAAGTTTGTATTGTATTTTATCTACATTTAAAATATGAGTCCTTTTATTTAAGTCAAATAAAAAAAGTCAACTTTATACCTGGGATTTTAAATAAGATTGCTTCAAAATGGGCTCGCCAAATCCATGGCTTCTTTTGACCCTTCGTCTACCTTCAGTCTCTGGAAGATTGATCCGTAAATTATTCGACTGAAATCAAACGGTAACTGAAGTGTTAAATTTGCACAATGTACAATTGAAATGACTTAATTTCAACAAAATTCTGCGATGAAAATAATAAAAAAATTCATAAATTTAAATAATATCACAAATATTTGCATTCTTCAAATTTTAGATTTTATAATGACACATAAAATAGTTATAATATGTAGAATATAAAATAGCCAAAAACTATAATTATTGATTAAAAATGTTAAAAATTATACAATACATTGTTATATTATACTGACCTTATCAGTAGAATTTCTGTCGTTGTCGAGATCTTCGTTCAAATCTACCTTTTTATCGTTTATCTAAAGATAATTTGCTAACTGAATAAAATTGTTTAAAAATTTAATAAATAATAAGAAGTTAATCTGACTTACCGTAGAAAAATTGAAATTCACTTCCTTTCTTGTTGAACTAAGTTTATGGCTAATTGGGTAACTTTTGGTCTAGGAAGAATAAAAAGTTAAATTATATTTATTTATATGAAAATACTATATTACTATACCTTCAATGGCCATTCAAATATAAACAATATTTTTGTATATGTGCATTCAATAAAAAGTGACTGAATATATCTCATTTTTCCAAATAAATTACCTTTCTTCAAAGCAAATTTATCCAAACGAGTTGGGAGTTTTTGAATTACGTTAATTTAAAAATAGTCGGTCATCAGTTTTCAAAGGTTCAAACCCGTGAAATCGCGTCGCGAATGGTAGATGTTCGTAGGTCGTCCGGAATATTTTTTTCCGATTTTTGGTACGTTTGGATCCTGAATGGATTTCAGTATTATCATGGGGCAAAGTAACATTCAAAATTCGGCATATCTTGTTTACATAAACGGCCTTAAATTGCTCCAAAATATACAAAACTTGAAAAAAGCCTGGTCATGAAGAAAATCGAAAAGAAATAATAGTTTTAACGTCCCAATTGTGTTTTGCTTTATAAGTGAGGCTTTTTCTTTTTCCTTACCGAAATGGCTTCCCGTGAGATAGTGCCCCATAAAACCTATGTGCTGCCGATGTTTTCTGTTTCTCTTGACAGAGTCGTTATAGTTCTGTTCTGTTTGTTGCCCATATTCTTTAATCAATAGTTACATGTGATGACCGGCATATAATTTTACTCATATTCTGCCGGTTGAGAGAAACGATCACCTTAGTCTTCCGTTTTGAGAAGTTGATTTCTCATAGTACGCCTCGTACCTGGGTTTTTGTCCAGTGATTTGTGTTTCTCAAGCAATTTTCCAGCTCCAAATTTAGCACACTCCAGTGCGCCATGTTGAGGGTCCATCGGTTAAAGGGCTGCCCTTTTTTATCTAGTTGTACTTTCATTTCCCGGAACCCAGCTGAAAGTAACTTTGTTGTGTTTTCCTAAGCTAATTAGGCAATTTAGGCATTCCTACAATATTTTGGAGGTAAAATAATACGCATTTAATACCTTTATAGCATTTCTATCCAAAATTATGTAGATCCGTACACCTTTCGTTTTTGTATTTTCCAACTCCTGTTGGACACAACGATGTTGGATTGCAAAAATGAGATATTTTCAGTCAATTTTTTAATCAAATGTATAAATTAAAACAAAACCGTTCTCGTTTACATTTTGACCCTAGAATACAGGGTGTCTCCTGAATATATGTTAATTCTTCAAGAGTTTTCCTACACGTCAAATTGAACTAAAAATTTCCTATTTTAAAAAGACGTTGCTCCAAAGAGGTTTCCCTTTTCATTTTACTTCAACTTTATCCCATAAAGTCCTTTGTATCTTATTCTAATTCGGTAAAGTTAATTAGCTAGTTAATTCTACAGTAAATTTAAACAAACCAATTGAAAGAGCGTTGAAAACCCCGTGCGATTCATTTGTTTTATTATTGTAACCATCAATACAAAGTATAAAATCATAGAGTTTTACGAATTTCTGAAGTTCATCTCTAATGTTTAAGTAAAATGTGCTTGGTTTTGTAAATACTGAGAGACATAGCTTAATGAAAAGTTGCTACTACTAATGAACAGTAATTGCGTGTACTTAATTTTGCAAGAAAAAACAAAAAACTTAAAAAAAATTAAGTCGAATTTTCAAATTTTTCAGCTCCTTTGGTATGAATTCTTCAAAGTAGTGAACATTTTCAAAATTTCATTTGATTTTTAGAAAATTATTTTTTTTCTTATGCTTAATTTTGTACCAAAAAGTCTTTTTTGTTTCCTTTTTATTATATTCATCATTTTTGAATAGAAATTTCAAAATCTGTTTTTTTTTCTGAGGCATTCCTAATGGATTAATCAATTTTTTTGCAATTAAACGTTCTTTTTACATTAATATCATGTTTGAAAAAAATAAGGAAATTTATTAAAAGCTCATTAGTAGGGGCCAAATTTCTATAAGCCCCATCCATGACTGTCGGTAATGAAACAACCAAGAAAAATTTAGTTGAACCGTAGACAATAACTTTGAAAACTCATAAAAGGTTATCTCCTAAGTGCTTTTGTATTTTGTTTGTTTAAAATGAAAAAAATGATAAAATTTTCAATGACTTTAGCAATGGTGTAAACAAATTTACAATAGTATTAACACTTTGTGATATACGTTTGACTTTACGGTATAAAATTGTGAAAGGTTGATGGAACATGAAAAGTGTAATATCTGGAATGGAATTGAGAATCGAACATTGGAAAATTGGGACTTTTTAGTTCAATTTCATATGTAAAATAACCTCTTGGAGCATTGACGTCTGTTCCCGGAACACCCTGTATATTACGTTATAAACTAAATTTTATAATGGTAAAGTACTTTAGTATAATAATATTTCATTATCCTAATACGAATAACTACTAGATTGTTTCCAAGCTGCATGATTTGGAGCTAACTCTTCAAAAACTGTTAAACTTTAAAGATCAAACATCAATACAAACGTAATTTTTAATATAATTTGAGCATAAATGTATTAATAACACATAGCGTTTAGTCACAAATTATAATTCTGAAATGAAAATGACAATAATGTGCTATCATTTTATTTAATTCTTATTATTCATTTTCCACTTAAATAATGACATGTTTGCTAAATTGCTTGCTAAATCATTTTTTTAATATCCAAATTAAAGTTAAAATATAAAAATTTATGTTAAATTTTTATTTACTGATTTTATTGCTTAAATAATTAAATTACCATTAAAAATAAAATATAAAAACACTAATGAATTTGCTTTGGATTTAATATCCATTGAATAATGGTGAAAAATACTTGATTTGAAAAGTACCTTATTTACATTACCCGAGACGTTTTTTCTTGCAGTGTTAATCGCTCCGTAATGCTTTCTTTGGGTTCCACGGCTCTAAAAGTTTTCAAAAAAAATCGTCATAAACTTTCGTTAAGTTTTACCGTCTGGATAGAGAAACTAGATACCTTACTCGTATTCCTGTGTTTTAGGTGTACTTTATTGATTTGCCTGTTCGTAGTGCTGTTCTGTTTGTTTTGAAATAATAAAATAAATTGATTGATTCTGATAAAGACTAGTATGTGGATTTACCTTGATAATCGACGGTTCTGTACTGTTTTCGACGTTTAGTGAAATTAAACTTTCAATCTATAAAAAACATTAAGCACAATCACAAAACTTAACAAAATATTTTCTTTTTGTAGAAAATTTCTTTAAACTACAAAAGTACCATAAAAATGAAATGTTACATTTATTTATTACCCATTTTTAATATGTTGGACAATTTTTATTTATCTTTGTCAGATTAAAAAATATATGTACCTTTGTATTTCCCTCCGAGGTCTTATTTATAACTTCATGTTGATTACGAGTGATATTAGAAGACTTAACGTGTTTGATCAGTCTCTATAAATATTACAAATAATATTTCTAATAATAGATATATATTTAAACTTAAAATAAATAGTACCTTTCCTAGGTTTGTTTTTTTGCCGGTATTTCTTGTTATATGATAGATTCGCCCCTATAAATTAATATTTATTTAAAATAATATAAATTTAAAATCAAAATTCGATTGACTTTATACCTTAATATTCCTGGACCTGTGCTTTATTTTTTCAACTGGACTTAAAGTTATATTAAATTTGTTTTCCGTGTAAATTTTGTCCTAAAATTATTCAAAATTGTGAGTTTAATTTAGGCAAATTATGTAAATATAAATAGAAATATGTTAATGTACTTTTATGTTTCTGGAAACTTCGATTGAAGGGCTTGACGCAGTCGTATTGTTAATTAAACCCTAGAAATAAGAAATTTTTTTTCTAAAGTTTAAATTTCAACCTTTGTAAAATGATAAAATAAATTGTTTTTAGATTTTTTTTAAAAGTCTCATATGCGTTTACCTTAACTATCGACGATCTTGTGCTGTTTTCAACGTTCAGTGTATTTACACTTTCAATCTAAAAAAACATTTTTTGAAAAATCTTAAAACTTATTATTATTTTTAGAAAATTAATTTAAACTATAAAAAGTACCATAAAAAATTAAATGTTATATTTATTACCCATTATGTACTATTAATCTGTTGGAAAATGGTTTTTATATTTTACCTTTATTAGATTAAAATATCTTTGTACCTTTGTGGTTTCCTCCGAGGCCTTATTTAAAACTTTATATTGATTACGGGTGATATTAAAAGACTTTAAGTGTCTAATCAGTCCCTATAAATATTACAAATAATATTTTGAATAATTGATAGATATTTAAACTTAAAATAAATTGGTACCTTTCCTAGGTTTCTTTTTTTGCCGGTATTTCTTGCATAATAGATTCGCCCCTATAAATTAATTTTATTAAAAATAATATAAATTTAAAATCAAAGTTCGATTGAATTTTCTACCTTTGTAATATTCTTGGACGTGGGCTTTATTTCTTCCAGTGGATTTGAAGTTATATTGGATTTGCTTTCCGTGTAAATTTTATCCTAAAAGGATAGAAAGTAGTGAGTTTTTTGGACAAATTATATAAATAATTTTCGATCAAAGAATATCACTGTACCTTAATATTTCTGGACATTTCGATTGAAGGGCTTAACACATTCGTATTGTTGGTTACGGTCTAGAAATAAGAAAGTTTTTCTAAAGTTTAATTTCAATTTTTTTTAAATGATCTAATAAGTTGATTTGAGTATTTTTACGTCCCGTATATTGGTTTACCTTGATTATCGACGATTTTGTACTGTTTTCCACGTTTAGTGAAATTAAACTTTCAATCTATAAAAAAATATTTATGAAAAATCATAAAACTTGTACAAATTGTTTCCCTTTTCTATAAGAAATTACTTTAAACAACAAAAATACAGAAAAACTTAAACGTTATATTTATTTCAATTAATCAATCTTTAAGTAAGGTATTGATTTAGATAAAAAAAGGCAGTGTCACGGGCGGGATTCGAACCCCACGACCTTCGGCTAAATACGCCGCTGCTCTACCACTTGAGGTAGAGCAGCGGCGTATTTAGCCGAAGGTCGTGGGTTCGAATCCCGCTCATGACACTGACTTTTTTATCTCAACCAATACCTTACTTAAAGATTAATTAATCGAAAATAATTTATTTGGTCAATCGGACCACGAGACCTAATCGGTTATATTTATTTATTCACGAATAATCAGGATCTCGGTGCTGTCTAGATGAAAAATACCATTTTCATTGTACCTGCCGAGTTCTCAACCTCCAAAACAATCGTGAACATGTCTACAAATTGACATAATTAAGTTTTTAATAAATGGTTTCAAATTTCTTTGAAGTCAGTCCAAACATTTCCAAGGTCTGAATAGGTCTTAATTTAAATTGACAACTATCTATTAAAAACGTAATTATGCCAAAAATTCAAGTTGTTTACGAGGGTTATTAAAAATCTTTATATGTTTAATCAACCCCTATAAATATTATAAATAATATTTTTAGTAATAGATAAATTATATTGGAAAAATATATTAGTACCTTTCTGAGGTATATTTTTTTGCCGGTATTTCTTGCATGATAGCTTCGCCCCTATAAATTAATTTTCTTAAATAATATAAACTTAGATTCAAAGTTCGATTGAATTTCTACCTTTGTAATATTCTTGGACATGGGCTTTATTTTTTCAAGTGGATTTGAAGTTATATTTGATTTGCTTTCCGTATAAATTTTATCCTGAAATTATTATAATTTATGAGTTTTATTTTGACAAATTATATAAATAGTTTTGATCAAAGTATGTCAATGTACCTTAATATTTCTTGACATTTCGATCGATGTGCCTAACATATTTGTATTCTTAATTAAGGTCTAGAAATAAGAAAGTCTTTTTACACTTTACATTTCAACTTATAATTCAAATAAAATCAATTATATACCTCTGTAATATTTTTACTTTCAATTTTTGATGGTACATTTTTGCAAGGAGAATTCGACTTTTGTTCACAGCAATTTAGAACCTAAGAATGATATTTTTGAAAAGTATACATTTTTTCGTATTTCAATAACTATATTTATACCTCGGTTTTATTTTTCAGTTTTGTAATAGCCTGGCTGGGCTTAAAGTCAGTGTCTATTTTAAAATAACTTTTTTCCTAGAAATTTTATGTATGTATTATTATGTCAAGTTTAAAATCATGATTTAATTATACCTTTTCTAAATTTCTCCTATTGGTTTGATAGGTTCTTCTGATATGAGTAAGGTAACTTAAGACCTAAAATATTAAGGAAGAAAAATGAATTTTGGCAATACATTTCATATGTGTTCTAATTTACCTTAGGAATTTTTCCTGGAGATGTTTTTGCTTTCAACATGTCTGAATGTGTACGATTGACCGTTCTTTCTATGTCGCCTTGTCCCTATAGTCCAAGTTTAAAAAAAGAAATTATTTTCGGCTTGATTGTATGCAGACTGATTATACCTTAGTAATGTAAACTGAATCCGTTTTTATTTTATCAACCCCTGTCAGATTGCATTTGATTTCAGTGTAATCAATGCTCCTTGGTTCCTAAAATGAACACATATATTTGAGAAAATCAAGGCCTTTTGGATGAATTTCTATTACCTTGGTAGTATTTCCGGTCTCGGGTTGAATTTTAAAATTCACGATTTTTGTAAGGGTTCCGGTTTTTCCATTAAGCCGCCCCTAGAAATAATAATTTCGTAAATCGTCTAATATGATAACTGTAAGTATAAGTTCTACCTTTGTGGCTTTCCTAGGCTTAGCTTTGAAGTTACGAACTCTCGTACGAGTAACAACGGCCTTTTTATCATTTAGCCCCTATAAATAATGCGTGAAAATTTATCAATTTTGATTTTTCGTAATAGTTAAAATAATTTGTCTACCTTATCGTCCCTAGGTTCCAGATTGCCTTTAACTCTCACATTTTCTATTCTGTGACTCTAAAAATAGGACAATTGATTTTTTTAAATGGTCCATTTTGTGGGAATATTCTAGAATATTTACTTGGTTCAAAAGTACATCACCATTTAATCCGATTTTCATAGTGATATTTGGCGAGTGGACAATGTTAGTTGTATTTACATATGGACAATTCTACAAAAAAATATATATAAAAAAGGTTTGATCGATAATGATTTATGTTTCAATAAATTTACTTGTTTCAGACGATTAATGTCCGTTTCCTGTGATTCTCGATCCGTCGTATTATTCATTCTCGTAATATTCTGACCATCCCTAATTTTCTCCAATCCCTGATCATAAAACATATATTTGATGATCTATTTAATTTTTAAAAACAATTTCTTATTTAAATCTACCTCAGTGTTATTCCTTGATAGAAATTTATGTTTAAAGTTCAACCTATTCCGAAAGCCTCCCTGGACAATAAAAAAATGAAATAAAATAAATTTTTGAATTTAATACCCAATAATAATATGAAAGGTCTACCTTACGAGGAAGAAACTTATATCTTGGGTTTATTAGTGTTACAGGATGAAAATGCTTCCTCTTTATAATTTTAGTCTATATAAAAAAATAAATTATAAATTTCACATAATATTTTTAAAACTTAGTTATTTAATCACTTTATTCAAAAGTATAAGCTCCGTGGTACTAGAAACAGGTGTCACTGTCTTTGTACTGTTTTTAACATCATTATTGCTCAATTTGCTATCGAAATAAGTCTGTAATAAAAGATAAATCAGGATTTTTTATTGTGGAAAAATATTTTTATAATTTATATAAGAATCTACCTGATTTAAATTCTTGGAAATATTTTTTACACGAGTGGTGCGTCTGTGATGTGCATTCAGAACTTTCATAATTAATTTATGTTTCTAAAAATTTAAAAAACCAATGTAGAAAAAATCTGTTTGTATTTAGATCTATCTATTTTGAGTTGTATTTATACCAAAGTGCGTTGGGAGAATTTATTCCGGCCAATTTTATGAGTCACTAGTTTTTTAATGTTAATATGATCCTAAAATTTAGAGAAAAAAATTAAATATAAGAATAAATTTAATATTGATTTTTTTAAATTTAGGGACCATTCTCAGGTATGCTTTGTTAATTCTTACACACTGCTTCTATCTCTGCAGTTTCTAATAATCAGACATGTCTATAATTTGCTCTGTAGAAATTTTTATTTGTTAATAATAATTAATGATTATTTAAAAATTCAATAGAAAAAAGTGGTTATATGATTTCTTGATTAAAGAAAAATACCTTAGGACTACTGGCCTTTTCACTTGCTGTACTACACCAGTTATAATTTTCAGTTGAATTGTTCGGAAGGTTAGGTCGTTCCTATAATAGATTTAAAAAAATCCAATCTTAAAAAAATGTTTACAGAAAACTATAAACATTATAAACTACCTTTGTACTATTACTTAGATCTTTCATTACATTCATTTTTTTATGGGCTGAATAAAATTTCGTTACATTATAACTTTGACTCTGAAAATATTAATAACATATAAATTTTAAAAAAATTCAATGTATACCATAAAATAATAATTCACTTGTTTCAAAAGTAGATGATGATAAGAATGCCTTGCAGTTTTATTTTTTGGACTGATTCCCAGTTTTAGTTTATTCTAGAATAATAATAAATTTTAAATAAAAAGTTTGGTTTATTTAAAAAAATGTAAATCAGTAATGTACCCTGGCGTTTTTAACAAATGGCTTTACAGTGATATTTCTGATAGCCGTTAAATTTTTTATATTCTCGATGTTCTAAAAATAACCAAAGTTAAATAAAATCTAAAAAAAATATACTTTTTATATCAAATAAATGTTTACATGTTTCGAAGTTTGATTACAATCATATGGCTTCATTGTGTGTTCGTTCAATTTTTTATTATTTGCACTAACTTTTCGATGGTGCAGGGTTGTATTTCGCTTCTAGAAAAATAACAATTGAGTTTAAAAAAATATCAACAGGAATAGTAGCATGAATATACCTTTATGTTCAAACTGTTCATAGTTTTTAATATATTTCTATTTACTGGATGTTTTGTAACGTTTGCCGCCCTAAACAAATTTGGTCTCTAAAAATTAAATTAAAACTAGTGTTAATAATTATTTTCGATTTTTATGATCTAACGATAATACCTTGGTAATCATTAACGTTGTGCTTTCAACAACGTAACGCTTAACATTGAAATTTGAAGGGATTGTACCGTGAAATTTGTCCTAAAAATAGTTGAAGTGAATTTCACAGAATTTGAACATATCAATTATATTAATAGTAGATACTTTTTTAGAATGCAGATTAATGTTAGCTTTTCCAAATGGTGTATATTTCTCAATAAATTGGCTAGAAGTTACATTCTGTCTATTCCGATTGAAACCTGGCTTCTAGACAAACAAAAAGTAAAAAAAATCGAATAATAAATCTTAAATTTTTATTTAGAATCTACCTTAGTAGAAATTCTGTTTAGCACATCGGTATTGTTCCTAATCCTGCTGATTATGTTGTTTGTTTTATACTTCTTCTCGTAATTTTTGTGAGAATTATTGCAACTTTTGTTCTAGAAATAAGAAAACGTGTTAACTGAAGAGTCCTTTTGAAACCATTTAAATAAAAACCTACCTTCGAGATTTTTGTATTCGACCTATTTCTATTAACCAATGTTTGATTTTTTATATTACAGTCCTAAAATTGTTTAAAACTGGTAAAATATGTGACTACCGGTTTCATCAATAGGTTTAACAGATTAAAGATTTATTAAATGTATTTACCTTTGTTTCATTACGTGCGGACAGTTTTATTTGAGTCTTTCTCTTAGAATGGCTCATATGTCTAGAAATTGAGTTTTGTACCTAAATATTAAAAAGGAAAAATAATTTTTGTAGAATGTGTTTTTATTTAAAAAAAGAGTTCATTTTTTCATATTTGTATGTTGAACATTCATACATTTTATAAATGTTGTTCTTCTAATTTTCACCCGGTCACATCACCGGTACTACCGTCAGCTCTCCCGCAGAACATATCACACATAAACATGTACACATGTTTTTAGAAACCAGCCTAAACTGGGCGTCTAGCTGCTGAGTTATTAGACGGCTGGGCTAACATCATAGATGACATGGAGAATTCTGGGGATGGGAGATAGTAGCGAGGGTTGAATGGATGGGCTAGAGTACGAAAAGTCAGTGAACTTCACGAAGAGGAAATATTGAGGTCGTAGGTGAGATTAGATAAACAGCAGAGAACATGGAGAATTATTCTATGACTTTAGATTAAAACGAGATTGGGTGGATATTGATGACTTTGTGGTATCCCACAGTTCTGATCCGTATGTTCATTTATGTCGAACTTTTAGAGTGTTGTTTGTTTGTTACAGTCATGTCTTATTTTGGTCCTAACGGTCTGTTCAGTAGAGATATTGGGTTGTCCGGAAAATAATGCAGGATTTTGGTATTAAACAAAAAAAAAGAAACTAGTTACTTTAAAGCAATGTTCTTTAATCAAAATAATTTCCCATACTCTCAATACATTTCTCCCAACGTGTTGGTAACTTATTAATTCCGTCTGAGTAGAATTCAGAATTTTTAGAATTGATAAAGTCAATAAATGCATTTTCCAGTTCCGTTTGATTTTTGAATATTATGTGTTGTAAGTAGTGGTCCAGGTGTCTAAAAAAATGGTAGTCAGTAGGCGAGAGGTCCGGAGAGTAGGGTGGGTGAGGCAAAGTTTCATAGCCAAGCTCCAATAATTTTTGTGACGTTACACGTGACACATGTGGTCGAGCGTTGTCATGCAACAAAATGGGCCCTTTCCGATTGACCAAAGAGGGCTTCATTACTGCCAATTTCTGATGCATGGTATTAATTTGGTTACAGTATGATTCAGCATTGATGGTTTCGCCAGGATTTAAGAAGCTGTAGTGTATTAAACCAAATGAAGCCCACCATACCGTAACCATTACCTTTTTTTGATGAGTTGGGGGCTTTGGAAAATGTATTGGAGCTTCTCCTTTGTCGAGCCACTGTCCAGAATCCACTTTTCGTCACATGTAACAATTCTGGCCAGAAATGGGTCATTTTTGTTTCGACAAAGAAGTGATGCACAAACATCAAAGCGCTGATTTTTTTGGCGATCGTTTAATGAGTGTGGAACCCAATTTTCGAGTTTTTTCACTTTTCCAATCGCCTTGAGGTGGTCAGCGACGGTCGTTTTACTGACTTTGAGTTGCTCTGCAAGTTCTCGAACAGTTGTTTTGGGGTTTTCTTCCACCACTGATCGCAGAACATCATCATTAAGAGAGGAAGGCCTTCCACGACCTTCTTCATCTTCAAGGCTGAAATCTCCCTCCCGAAATTTTTTAAACCACCTTTGCACAGTGCACTCATTAACACAACCCTCGCCCCAGACTTGGTTAATGTTTCTAGCCGTTTGGGCTCCGCTTCGGCCGAGTTTAAACTCGTAAAAGAAAATCGTACGAAATTCTCGCTTTGACATTATAAGGATGACTGAATTATTTCCAAGTAGCGGAATGCTACAGAGGTAAACAAACAATATCATTTGGAAGAGGATTAATAAGTGTTGACATTCATACAAATGAGTAATCCTGTAAACGTAAACAGAATATTTTATATAGATTTTTTTTAATGAAAACTTAAAATCCTGCATTATTTTCCGGACAACCCAATAGCTTGAACGGAAGAGTTATGGTAAAACGAACGATTAGAAGGGAATTTCATAAAGCGGGATCAGATCCCTTGAACGAAGGGGATGTTGATGTTAGAGACCGAAATAGGCAACTTGAGAATTTTTCTGGGAACTTTGAATTGATGGATGGGTTGGATACTAGATAGCTTCGAGGCACCGCACAGTACTGGGTCAATTATTTTTATTGTTAGTTTGGCTAGACATGCCTTATTTTTGTCTTACAATTAGCAACCTTCTTACTTGTCCAGGCCTGCTGGTAAAATCGGGATCACATAGGAAATAAGGGGCGAGAAGATCTTTGACCCAACGTCATTTAAGGCAACTTGGAGGATTCTGAGGATAAAATTTTGAGAGAGGTTTTGAATGGAAGGGTTATAATACGAAGGTTAGAGTGGAACTTCACAAAGTAGGAAGAGATTCAGTTTTGAACTTGTAATGTTGACGTCAGTGTGGTTAGGTTAGGGACGTAGTAAGGTACTTGAATAATTCTTCTTGGAACTATGGATTGGAATGATGAATGGGTTGGATATTGGACAGCTCTGCCAACTGTTTCTATGAACGGGAATCTAAAAGAGAAAAGAGTAGAACGCGATAACGATAGTACCTGCATAGAGGTAGAGTGTATTCTGGTTCGTACATACGTCGACAGTGTGATGTTTGGATGCATCGGCAGGTAAGTAATATAAATAGTGTATAGTACAGAACCCAGAATGCTCCCTTGTCGGACGCCGATTGCGCACTCTGAAGCATCCATCGGTGACAACAAACATGTCGCGAAGAAATTCTGCATAATTCCTTTTGTATTTTATAGTTACATGCTTAATTAAACGTCTCACTCATTAATCAATTTATTTTTGTATATGCGTTTTGGATCGTTTTGAAAGAATAAAACATTCTCATAGACGGTTAGCATATAAATCCCGCAATTAATAGAAAAAATAATATAATTCCCGAATATATTAAAATAATACAACCAATAAAAACGAGGAGTTGTTAATATTTTCCATAGTTATGATCTTTATGAGCTTAGTTTAAAAAACGCATGCTGATCATAAAGTAATTCTGTTTTAAAATTTATCATTTGTTCCATAAATAATAAAAAAGTAGAGAAATGCCAAGTATTGTGTTTCCGCATTTAGCGGATATTCCTATATTTAGCATATTGATTACGTTCAATTAATAGAACGAATTAAGTCTGCCTATGTACTATTAATACAGTGTAATCGACCTAATCTCATTTTAATTATTAAACTGCTATTCATTGGGTTTGCCGTTGATTTTTCCAAATCAGAATCAAACAGATCGTAGCAAATATTCAATTCAAACATTTCGCACGATTAAATTTGTATTGACATTTGATCTTTATTTCGCATGTAGCATTTAAAAGCAGAATCCCTGATGTAAAAAAAAAACAAATAGTGTTTTAATGTGATTGTATATAAAATAAATATTATGAAAACAAAATACTCATTGTCTGAGCAACCATTTAAAAAAGAAAAAAGCTCAGTTTGAATTATTCACTTTAAATTTGTTATTGTCAAATTAAAGCAGAATATATAAAGAATATTATTTATTTATTTCCAATTAATTAAGGCTCGGTTGAGATAAAAAAGTCAGTGTCACAAGCGGGATTCGAATCCATGAACTTCGACCTTCGGCTAAATACGCCGCTGCTCTACCACTAGAAGTGACGGAGTATTTAGCCGAAGGTCGTGGGTTCGAATCCCGCTTGTGACACTGACTATTTTATCTGAATCAAAGCCTTAATTAATTGAAAATAATTTATTTGGTCAATCGGACCACGAAACCTAATAAATTATTTATTTAATTTTTTGATAAATATTGCTTTTATGATATTTGTGAATATATTATACATATTGAGATATATATGTATATAATCATTTGTTTCTATAAGGTTAACACAAGCTTTTATGTTATTTCACTCATGTTAGACAAGCATAATTGCATTGCGAAGCAAAATATTATGTTATTAGTTAAAAGTAAAAACTAACTGTATTGTTTGTTAATAATAATCAAACTACTCTTACCTTATGATTAAATAGATTTCTTTTCCTAGGTTTTTTTATATTCTCTTCTTGGTGTCTTTCCTTCTTCAGCAGTGGGTCTCCATATTTAACCCCTGACGTTTTATCGGCCGTATTCTCATTTTTCTGCGAGTTTCCATACTTATTGGGGTCGTCTTGAGGCCAATATTTTGCGGCAGCTGCGAGGGACGATCCCCCGTTCAATCTCCCGACGTTGCCCTCGTTGAATATTTCCTTGAAAAAACAAACTCGTTAGTAAAACGATAGATCGAAACTAGATTATGTGCCTTTTGATAATTACAGAAAGTAGTAACAAGTCGGCATTTTGGTTATGGCGTTTCATGAATTGTTTCGCTTTCAGGAACTGAAAAATAAGAAGATGAAAAGAAAGACCAAACTAAAGAATTTTTATAACATTAGATTAGTACTTTTCTAATGGATGGGATGATCAACGGCTCTTCTGTAACCCAGGGATAATTGTCGTTTTCTCGTTTAGTAGACGATTTCTTATTTGCCCTAGGCACAGTCGTGCTTTCGTAGCCACGAACGTTCTAAAGAGAAAACATAAATTAATGTTTGCTATTTAAGACTGGGGAAATAGAAACATGAAAAAATTACCTCGGCGTTGTTATTTCCGTATTTAGGTGTGTATTTCTATAAATGGAAATTGGAAAAATTAGAATCATATTGAGAAAACGACAGAATCGACTTACCGTATCCGTATATTTACCATCCGAACTGGGCCGCGCATACTTTTGGTATCTTTCGAAGAGGTTTATGAAAACTTTCTTTTCAGGCTGAAAAACGAAAATACGTTTAATTGCAAAAAATAATGTAAAATTTACCACTAAACATCTTTAATTCTACAGAATAAACAACTTTTCACGCTGACTTGGTAAGCTAATCTACCTAAAACGGGCTTCCCAGGCTTTCATACTTTTCATGCTTTAATAACTTAAAGAACTTGACATGCAATTAGATATCGGAAAGAAGTTTCTATCTCTAAATCTCGTGAATTAGTATTGGGTTGTACACGAAATCATATTTTATCCCACTGTTATTTACCTGGCCAATAAATGTTATTGGGCATGATTGTTCTCCTTTTCCAAATATTTTAATAAAATACTTTTTTTGATAAGAAAATAAAATTATATTTTTTACCTTATTTTCTTCTTAAAAGAGTTGTTTAAGGTTACGAATTTTCCAAGAGAGTATGGTGGTTTTTTCAAAGATAAATTTTTATTTTGTATTTTGTTTCCTTCTACGTTTTGGGCTCTCTGCCCATCATCAGAAAGGCCTAACAAGAAGTACAGTCAAAGTTATTATTATATATTATAAACTAATTATTCAGAAATCGTGAGATGCGGTCTGGTGTGATGTAGGTTTCAGAAAAACATTTTCTTTATCGTGCCAACGGTTCGATCTTTATTGAGATCATATTGAGACACGCAAGAATGGCACAGTTACACAGAAGACAAACACTTTGAGCCCTGAAGATGATCTCAATAAAGATCGAAACGTTGGCACGATAAAGAAAATGTTTTTCTGAAACCGACATCACACCAGACCGCATCTCACGATTTCTGAATAATTATCGATTAACGGTCAGTAATCACCACACATATATTAAAAACATTAGTAATTAATATTAATTTATTAGTTTACATTTTTCTTTTTCATTTATGATAAAAATTTGTTGAATAATTACCTAGCAGTAATATAATAAATCTTACTTCTTGTTAGGACTTCCTAATGATGGGCAGACAGCCCGAAACTTAGAAGGAAACAAAATAAAACTTGTCTTTGAAAAACACTACCTGTTTTCTTGGAAAATTTCTAACTTTTAGAAAAACTCTTTTAAGCAGAGGAAAAGGTAAAAAAATACAATTTCCTACACATGTGAAACTACTACAATAATTTAAATAAAAGGAGGATAAAATAAAAAGCTGATTACACCTAAAGAAATCACCAGCTCGACAATGGTGCGGAATTGCATCACCAAAATAAAAGATTCGATATGATGTTTGTTGATCGACCCGCAGATAATCTACGTAGGGTCCAACCTTCGTAGAGGTAATTAGACAGATGAAAAAGAAGAAGACCAATTGCTGGGTTCACCGAGCTTTCGGCGACTTATAGTGCCATCATCAGGGCTATCTAACTGTTGATCGACCTGCAGATAATCTACGGGCATAGATGTCTATTTTTACCGTCAAAAATTTAGCTGGCCATGCGCTCCATAACCTTAACAATGAAAAATTCACTCACTGGACATAAACAATTCAAAAACCTCCTGTTCAGATTTAAAAAGAAAGATCCCGAATCTAACAGGGAACTGAAAGGGCATAAGAAAGAATGGTATCAACCAACACGTGCAGATTCTGCGAAAAAATAAGAAACTGCAACATACTGTGCTGATTCACTGAAATGCAGTGTAAAATGCTTTAGGACGATAAATACAACCATTCACCCGGGGCTAATAATCAAATTCCTTTATGAATTGGGACGAGCTTGGTGCTATAGATACAGAAGTAGTGAATAGTGAAACACAGTAGTACTCAAAGATCGCAATAACCAAACTGTCTCGAATTTTACAATCTACATCTATACCGAAATATAGAGGCAGTTATTGTAGACTTTGACCTATGCCTACCTAACACTTGTAACTCCCAAATGTGCCCACTCTAGAATCTACACCTCAGGGGAGTTCACTTATCTCGTTATGCTGCTGGGTAGTTAGGCCTTTAAGCCAGATGCCCAGGAGATCATCGCTTCCCAACTTTTATAATGGATATTTCCTTACCTATGATATGTCTCTATAGAAAGTTCTTTGTCGCGATAAATTTTCTTGAGATATAATTTTGGGTTCTGAGGTTTCCTACTTTGGCCCAATACTGTTTGTACAGTATTTTCACGATATACTTGATTCTAATCGGTCTTCCTTGGTCTTGGGTATTACAGCCGACGTTAAAGTATTTAAGGATATCGAAGATAGATGGCAATGACATGTCATGGTATGAAGTTAAAAAACGTAAGAACCCAAAATCTTCTTTACATTCTTTCTCTTTTGTAGCAATGATAGTGATATGACAGCATCATCGCTTAAATCATCTCTGCCAACGAACAAAGACCTAAGACATCCTTCCATGACTTTACTGAAGAAATGACTGATTGCGATCAATTTTGAGTAGGTTTCTGTGAGAATCCCTGTCACTAATGAGTTAATAACTGATTGGTGATTCCAGTCACAAACAAGTTCCGACCAGTTTAAGTACCTCCGTAAGTCAACCTTACTAACTGTTCCCTTTTTTAAGGGTAGGTAGATAAAAACTATCTACAATAAATACACCACTGGACAGTCCATATACTCCGGGGGAGGGGTCCGCGAAACTAAACAACTATACCCAAGGGTCCTCAGTATATCCCGATCACGACGAGCACACTAACATCCACCACCGGATAGTCAGTCCTTTTATTTGGGATGAAAGAATGTACTATCATTGACTTTCATTTTAGTCAATTGAGGTTTTTTATGTATCGTAGCAAGAGGACTACACACTCATAAACTTTTATTTCCGCCGAAATTGATAGCTTCTCTGATTTAAACGGAAGGTCCAACTTTCTAATAGAATATATTAGATTCATTAGTTAATTTTATACAAATACTCCACAATTTGAATGTTCCTTCCTGAGCCTACACAAAGCTAGCCCACGACCATCATAGGATTGCTGGTAAAAAGCATCGATATTACCCGCCCTTTCGATCATGTTGTACGCAAGTTGCATTTAGTAACTTCCAACCTATTGCATTTCGCATGTCATTAGGAGAAATCTTGATTTACAATGTCGTCCCGTTCGAGTTGCTATTTGATCAAATAAATACTGTAATTACCTTCTTCGTTGTAGGTTTTTCTGTCGTAGTTGTGGTGGTCGTAGTTGTGGTTGTGGTTGTTGTCGTCGTGGTTGTTCTCGCCTTGGTTGTTCTCGTCGGCTTCTTTCTATATCTTATAGTCTGAATAGAATTGACCAATAATAATAATGAGAAAAACGATAAACTGAGTTTTTTTGCATATTCTGTTTTACCTTTTTTCTTGTAACTTGCTTCCTGACAGGTTTTGTTGTTGTTGACGGTGGAGGAGTTGGACTTGTCATTTGCGTGGTTGTTTTCTGTAAGGAATTCGATAGGTTAAATCCATATTTTTATTTTATCTTCAATAAATTTACGTTTTCGGGTTTCTGAGTGGTTGTTGATTTCAGTACAGGTGTTGTTGTGGTCCACTTATTCTTGAGCTGTTTCTTGGCCATCTAAAATTGGTTAAATTATATATTTTAACTTATGTATTAATTGTTAATTATAATTTTATCATAAAGACAAGTAAGTACCTTTGTTGAATGAGGGATTTTGTAAACTGGCTTTCTCCGTCTAGGCTGAAAAGTCGCTACGAATTCATGTCGATTTATCAAACTTTTCTAAAAACACAATTTTTTCCGCAGTGAAAATAACATTCGAGGATTAAAAAACAATTGTTTAATTTAATTGCATTTCCGTACCGATTCCGGTTTCGTGAAATTTTTTGGTTCAGATGTTACACGTTTAGTAGAGTAGTTTTCTACTATCTCTTCACCTCGTCTGTTAGTTTTCCAAGCTTTTCTGCTGTTCTAAAATTTCAAATAACTATAAATTATAATAATGAAAACAAGTGCCTAAAACCTGCTTACTGTCGGCACTCCGGAGGTTTGGTAGTACCACCGCAGGCGCCGGAGGCTATCGACATTTCATTTCAGCCCCAGACGCAAGCAGATTTAATTTAACTACTCACTCTCTCTTCATTTTCAAATATACTCGTTCTTATACATTCACAGGCTCCAATTGCCCAACGGCATAAAAATGAGAAATTAAATCTTTGGGAGAAATTACAGACAGGCAATTTTCTGGAGGATGCTAGGATCCTAAAATTCGGATTTGATAAGAAAGTTCAAATTAAAATATTGAAACATAGCACACTGGATGATAGAGATCCCAGTTAATGCTGATCATAACTGGTATACATATAGTTCTAAGACCCGTTCTGGTAAGTATCTATCAAAATAAACTAACAACTAGGATTGGACAATATGTCTTAAATTGAGGCGAAACCTGTGGCCATTGAACACATTGTGCCTGGAAGAACAAAACACTACATATTCCGACAAAAGACGAGCCATTTTCTCGGACAAAAAGCGGCATTAAAGGCAACTACCTCATTGGTTTGGCATCAAAGCCCTGTCAGCAATTAAGGACAACACAATTACCCTTATTTGGGTGTCAGGGCGCGGAAGGCAGAGGGGAAACGAGGAGGTCCATATATTGGCCAAAGAAAATTCAGCGAGTGCACCTTATTTGAAAAAACTATATCTATCCAAGAATGTGTTAAAACTGAGCAATCTCTATTTCAAAAGTACATAAATGGACCATGGTAGAAATTAATGGCAGAACTACTAAACCTAGGTTGTGATTGGTTCATCATCTCCGGAAGCATATGGAAAGAATAAGAGGGGCAGAAACAGCCTGCTCAGATATTGCCAGGAAGAAGAAAACAACGAGCCATCTTCGCAGTTGTGCGAAGGCCTGTGAAAGATAGGTGGCTACACCTGGAAGAGGAAAGGCAATGATTTGAAGCCCATAACAAAACTTGGGGACCTGATAAAAAACCCTAAGGTTATCGAAGACCTCTAAACATGATGGAAATTGCACTATAGACCAATATTGGTTGAGGTGCGTAAATTCGTAAATAGGCCGATTCCTTAACGTTAACCAGACATAACATTCACTTAAATAGGGCGATGAATTATTCCATATGCTTCAACGACCCTTCAGTCATATAAACAAATACCAATTTAATAACTAGTCTAATTGATGGTCGATGTGGTAATTGACCAAAGAAAATTCAGTGAGGACACCTAGCAGCCTTAGACGTTTTTGCGGCATGCCCAATTTTGAAAAAGTAGATCCATCCGAGAATGTGTTTATGTTTTCTGTATTTCAAAACAGAGGAGTAAAGAAAAAGTGCATGAATGGACATCCGCCATCAATTTTTCACACACAGACACAGACACACACACTCGGGTTTATAACTACATTCTCACAAAACAATTAACACAGAATACATCAATCACCAAATTTTTTATGTCCATAACACAAAGATCAACTGCAATGCATATGTACAAAAATTCTCTGTTATTCTCGATAGAAAATAGATCAAATATGTGTGGTGATTAGTGACCGTTAATCGATATTTATTTAGAAATCGTGAGATGCGGTCAGGTGTGATGTAGGTTTCAGAAAAAAGATTTTCTTTATCGCGCCAACGTTTCGATCTTTGTTGAGATCATCTTCAGGGCCTGGGATTTACAAACATTGTTTACATATAACAGTTACATTTTGGATGTGGAAAAGTGAATTTATACGATGCAAAATATATTTTTTATATATATTCAACCAAAGTATTTCTACTCACTCAAAGTGTTTGTCTTCAGTGTAATTGTGCCATTTTTGCGTGTCGTGTCGAGAGTGCCTGTGAGATTTTGCTCTCTGTTTATATACACTGGATTTTGAAGGGGTGGGGAAGGATGTCGGTATAGAAAAGACAATTTTGTATAAGGCGTCGGCTTCTTTGAGGTGAAAAGAGCCGACAAAGGGAAAAAATGTGTTGGTAATGGTTCGGCCAGATTATCCTTTCAGGATTATATAGAAAGGGACAAATATAATTATATTAGTTATATGTAAACAATGTTTGTAAATCCCAGGCTCTGAAGATGATCTCAATAAAGACGTTGGCACGATAAATTAAATGTTTTTTCTGAAACCTACATCACAACAGACTGCATCTCACGATTTCTAAATAAATATAGATCAAATTGTGGGAAAATTAATTTCCCCTGTTATTATCGTATTTTATTGTGTACCAGAGATTGTACAAGAACGATGACTCAAACATAATCTTAAGAAAATATTAGTTGTCAGTTGTACTAATAAATGATAAGAAGTAAGAAGGCAATTGATTAATTTTTTTTGGTTTAAATAGCACTACTTTTAAAGAAACCTACTTGCACACAACCTTAAACCTGTATATTATTTTTAACAGTTAATAAATAAAATAAATATCTTTAAAAAAATCTATTAATCAGAATAAAATATATAGTGTTCTTATGAAACATCGTTTGGACTAATTTTGATAAGAATTACGTAAATATTAAATTAATTAAGGTTTTTAGTTGAGATAAAAAGTCATTGTTTCGAGCGGGATTCGAACCCACGACCTTCGGCTAAATACGCCGTTGCTCTACCACTTGAACTATCGTGACCTCTCACCTCTCAAGTGGTAGAGCAGCGGCGTATAAAGATTAATTAATTGAAAGATGTTATTTGGTCAACAGACAACAAAACCTAAGAAATTAAATAGTAGGTGGATGGTGATAATCTTTGAAAAGAAAAATGGTTAAAATTGCGTTGATCAGCAACACATTTGCACGTGCTATTAAAATCGTAGATTAAACAAGTGAAATCATTACCATGGCGATTTTCCTGAAGTTTGGATTTATAGATTTTGGAAATTTCTCTTCTTCAACTGGCTTGTTGGGCCTTCTGCTTTTGAAACTCTAAATAAAATCAGTTTCCATTAGACAAAGGCTTTAAGAAATTGATCGAGGCTTACCATGAAGTACGCTGTGCTTTTTGGCATCGGCGGTGGTTGCGTGATGTATTTTTCAGTGGTTTCTGAAACTGTACTAGGCGGGGACGGTGTTTTCTGAAAGAAAAAGTTGATTTTAAACAAATTTTCGATAAAAGATGAATGTTTATATCTTACCAATGTGGTTTGAGCAGTTGTTTTCTCATATTTATGATTTATATGTAATATTTTTTTTTCCCGTAGGTCTGCACGTTGAAGTTTCTGAAAACGAAAAATATCACAGAAAAATATATATATGCTGCATATAATTTTTGATTTACAGGATTTGTTTACACCGTTTATTCAGATGGCACCAGGTTATAAAGTAAAATCTGTAAAAGGAGATTTTATAACAAAGAGGGATTTTCCTACCTTTTTCAACTGGGCTATGGTTTCTTCTAAGCTTCTTCGGTCAGGAAATTCTGGTTTCTGAAATTTTTTGAAAATTAACAACTGTTTTTAGTCTCTGTTTTGAAGTTGTAATATTTACCGGTTTGTTTTGTGTTACCTCACTCTCCTGGTTTTTTCTTTTATCGTCCTGAAAATATAATATTGTTTGAAAATAAATAGTAATAATAAAAAAACTCGTGTATATACTTTGTTGTATCTTAATTGAGTCTTATCTGTATTTCTAAGTTTGTAGGTACCCATGTCATGAGGTCTAACCTTGTAGCGTTTCGGAATGCCAACTTCCTGAATTAAATAATTTCATAATTTTGCTTTAATAAAAAAAAGAAAAGTCTGTTTTTAAAGATCAACCCACCGGTTGTTTGACATTCTTGTCGTAATGGCCTCGCCAATGTCCGGGTTTTCTAACTTGAGCCCTCTCTGTACTCTGAAAAACAAATAGTTAAACATTGAGAAAACCGGTGGGAAAATATGTTTTGCTTACGGAAAGATAGCCGGCGTAATGCGTGGGAGCCCTGCTCAAATATTGGGAGAATAATTTCCTAAACTCGTGGTCGTTTAGTTTAGAACCTCTTTGAGAGTTTTCCCGTTGGAGTTGCCTTATCTGTAAATTTAATATTTATTTACAACATTAACGCTAAGTGTTTATTATTAATTTCTACAAAATTGTCATGGCTCGTTACAATTATTTTGAATTTCTTAACTATACTAGTACTCTAAGATAGGTAAAGATTTTATTTGATCTAATTTTGCAATTATAACACAATGATAGTCAAGTAGGGGAAGTCGCGGTACACCGTTCCTTCCAACTTATAATTTTATTTGCAATTTGCACTAAGACTAGTTGATTAAGGTAGTGTTATAACAGATAATGTGAAAATCGCAGAAAACCCCTCTATGGCACACTTTTCTCATTGAGCAGTACAAAAATTGAATTTAGATAACTTTAACCAAAACAATTAATTAAGGTTTTTAGTTGAGATGAAAAAAAGTTAATGGCACGAGTGGGATTCGAACCCACGATCTTCGGCTAGATACGCCGCTGCTCTACCACTTGAGCTATCGTGACCTCGATCCACTCGGACATCAACTTCCTATCTCAACCCCACCTTATGAGTTTTCCCTCCTTTTTGCCATTTTTCAACTTTTTTTCATCTTCTTCTCAATTCTCAATTCTTCTCTCAAATTCTTCTCAACTAAAAACCTTAATTAATTGTAATGATTTAATTGGTCAAGCGGACCACGAAATTAGTGAATTTAACCAAAACGTAAAATAGCAAATATACAAAATATCTATATCAGAAATATAATCTGAAAAAAAATATTGATACAGAATATGCTGCGCTTCAGCTATTGTCATATAGACAACATATCTTTTAAGTTCAGTTTTCACTTTGGTACAGTTTGGTCAATTATTGACAAACCTAAGAAACTTGTCTTCATCAACTAGAATGTTTTGAAGATAGCATACCACCTCCAAAAGAAGGAAAGTTGAAAGACTTATAGCAAAATTTGATCTTTGGTTTTTTTTATAAATGCGAAGTTTACTTTAAAACTGCTTCCGCTGCTGCGGGACTTCAAGGGGGAACATAACTTTATCTTTTTTATAATTAACTGATCCCCTGTATACCAGACGGGCGGTCCAAAATGATTCCCCTCTCTCCCACAAAGAGCGTATACTGCAGAAATGATTCTCATGTCCCTGGCACTGAGATTACTACATCGATAACAGGAAAAAAACCTTTGTCATATTACGGATTCACTCAGTCCATTTTCAAAACTCAGGAGAAAAATCTCATATAATTTATAAATAATTAAAAGGAATCAATGTCGATGGAAAAAGGTCGTGCTGGTCTGTATTCCCGTACTATGTGATAACCTGGAATAAAGAAGCAAAGTGATCCAAGTGGCCTCATCAGCGCACGGGCCACCCCATCTTGTCTACCGAGGACATGTGGGACTTCTGCTAAATTACTAAAAACTGACCCTGGTCCAAAAGGTCGGTTCGAAGGATTGCTTACCCAGGATTTGCATAGATAGAGCTTGGCTTACAGATGGTCACTTGCTAGCGGGAAAAAGGCAGCATCGGTGGCCGTTATGTATCGAAAGATTAAGAGTTTATCATATTTTATATTGTAGCTAACTAGAAGACTGCAGAATGATGGTTCCTGCTAACTTTAGCTGGCATTACGGCAAAGATTGCTGTTTCAGTACCTCAGGGTTTTAAGAATTTTTAATGTATGTAGTAATTTTTTGTGTAATGTGTTGGTGTGAATGTAAATGAATGGCACGAATTATGCGATTATCCTCACCCGGAGGGATATGGAGTACTCTGGTACTCGGTAGTGTGTTGTCTGAAAAGTGAAATTAATTTATTAGCGTGAATGAAATGTTTAAACTTGTCCCAAGGAATGTCCAATACAGTAAAATTGCACTTCCAGCTATCCCGCTGAGTTTTCTTGTTCTTTTAATACTAATTTGACTACCCGAGATACTTTTGAGAGATTAGCAAGAATGGAAACAGCAGACAAAATTTGAGATAGTCAGCGACAAAGATCCGCTAGATAATTTCAATTTCCAGTTCAAGGTTCACGCTATTTCTTTAATTTTTGTACCCAGAGAACAAATTATTTTTCTAAACAAGGGCTGCCTTTTCATGAAAAATTTGGCTTTTGCCTTAGAGGATTTAACCTAAGCTTGAAAAAATATGAATTATGGTATTCTAAAAGTAAATAAAAACAGTAAATTGCTATAATATAAAGAGCAATTTTTAAATGAGCGGAGAGTATTGATAAACAAAAAAAGTCTTAATATTGAACCTTGAGGGACACTGGTAACAATAAGAAACGAATGATGTCTCGCCAGTAGGGTAGACAGGGAAATGCTGATTTTATTCATTAAGCATTAATAATTTTTACAATTACGTTGAAAATTGTTTAGTTCTTGGAATTAAAACTTCCCGAAACAGAACCAGCACATTTACTACATTAACCTACCCGATTTGTAACCTATTATGTAGAGCATAATGGTAGATTTAACGATTTCAGCATGCTTGAAAAATAACTAACACTTTCTGCTAGGAATAAGGAACTATAAACTATGCAATACACAAGCTATAAAAAACGAAATTAGAACTATGATTATTATATAGAAAAACTCGAGACAATAACAAGCAGAGAAAGAAATCAGTAATTTTGAATGACTTTTTATCCAAATGTCTAGCCTTTTTTTTAAGTTTGGAACAAGATTTAACATTAAAAAATGTAGATAGAAATAATGTTGTTCTTACTGGACTACTCAGCAGGAACAGACTGCGAATCCTAACTGAATTCCAAACAGGACACTGTAGATTAAATGGACACCTAAAGAAAATTGGAACAATCCAAGATGGCATGTAGATTCTGCAAGGAGGCAGAAGAGACACCAACACATTTACTAACATACTGCGGAGCTACATTAGCCCGCAGGAGTAAATGTTTTGGGATGTATAATGTGACCATAGAAGAGCTTCAACCACTAAAGCCGGGCCTATTAATCAAGTTTCTTGATGAATTTGGACATCGATGTGCTTTAGGCAGAGAACGGGGGATACAATAGCTCTTAAAGGGCGCAGTATACTATACCCTGCAATTATATCTACATCTACTGGACTACTCCCAGCTTTAATATAACTTATAGCATGCCAATAATAGTTTGGCGGTAATAAAAATATCTTTATGACAATCTTTAATAAAAACGAAAATTACCCAAACGGTTCTTAAAAAATGTTCACGATGACCTCTGTAGCATGGAATATGTTTACAAAATTATCAATTTACCTAGTTCAAAAATTATGCCATTAAAAACGACTATAATTTTTTCCTGTTGGTTTGATTTCCATGAAAAATACATATTAATATATTGGGTTGTCCGGAAAATAATGCAGGATTTTAAGTTTTCATTAAAAAAAATCTATATAAAATGTTCTGTTTACGTTTACAGGATTACTCATTTGTATGAATGTCAACACTTATTAATCCTCTTCCAAATGATATTGTTTGTTTACCTCTGTAGCATTCCGCTACTTGGAAATAATTCAGTCATCCTTATAATGTCAAAGCGAGAATTTCGTACGATTTTCTTTTACGAGTTTAAACTCGGCCGAAGCGGAGCCCAAACGGCTAGAAACATTAACCAAGTCTGGGGCGAGGGTTGTGTTAATGAGTGCACTGTGCAAAGGTGGTTTAAAAAATTTCGGGAGGGAGATTTCAGCCTTGAAGATGAAGAAGGTCGTGGAAGGCCTTCCTCTCTTAATGATGATGTTCTGCGATCAGTGGTGGAAGAAAACCCCAAAACAACTGTTCGAGAACTTGCAGAGCAACTCAAAGTCAGTAAAACGACCGTCGCTGACCACCTCAAGGCGATTGGAAAAGTGAAAAAACTCGAAAATTGGGTTCCACACTCATTAAACGATCGCCAAAAAAATCAGCGCTTTGATGTTTGTGCATCACTTCTTTGTCGAAACAAAAATGACCCATTTCTGGCCAGAATTGTTACATGTGACGAAAAGTGGATTCTCTACGATAACACTAGACGTTCTGGACAGTGGCTCGACAAAGGAGAAGCTCCAATACATTTTCCAAAGCCCCCAACTCATCAAAAAAAGGTAATGGTTACGGTATGGTGGGCTTCATTTGGTTTAATACACTACAGCTTCTTAAATCCTGGCGAAACCATCAATGCTGAATCATACTGTAACCAAATTAATACCATGCATCAGAAATTGGCAGTAATGAAGCCCTCTTTGGTCAATCGGAAAGGGCCCATTTTGTTGCATGACAACGCTCGACCACATGTGTCACGTGTAACGTCACAAAAATTATTGGAGCTTGGCTATGAAACTTTGCCTCACCCACCCTACTCTCCGGACCTCTCGCCTACTGACTACCATTTTTTTAGACACCTGGACCACTACTTACAACACATAATATTCAAAAATCAAACGGAACTGGAAAATGCATTTATTGACTTTATCAATTCTAAAAATTCTGAATTCTACTCAGACGGAATTAATAAGTTACCAACACGTTGGGAGAAATGTATTGAGAGTATGGGAAATTATTTTGATTAAAGAACATTGCTTTAAAGTAACTAGTTTCTTTTTTTTTGTTTAATACCAAAATCCTGCATTATTTTCCGGACAACCCAATAATTAATGTTGGTGAGCAAAAAACATTTCAGTGTCACCTATGTATCTAATTTATCACACAGATACCTTTTCAAGTAACGTAAGTGGGTCTTCTGAAACTGGCGCTGGAGTCGGTTTTACTCGTTTTAAAACGTGTACTGACTTAGCAGGTTTCGCATCGACCTGACAAAACAAATAATAACAATTATATTACTGTTTCTGTTGATTAATTATAGCCTGTAATTTTAATTGTACAGTCTAGTTGTTAAAATCGCTAATCTTTCATATACCTATAGCTATTTACTCAAGTTATTTACATTCGTATGTATTTATATTTTTATTTATAATGTGTGGTGATTAGTGACCATTAATCGATAATTTTTCAGAAATAGTGAGATGAAGTCTGATGTGATGTAGGTTTCAGAAAAACATTTTCTTTATCGTGCCAACGTTTCGATCTTTATTGAGATCATCTTCAGGGCCTGGGATTTACAAACATTGTTTACATATAACAATTACATTTTGGATGTGGAAAAGTGAATTTATACAATGCAAAATATATTTTTTATATATTGAATCAAAGTATTTCTACTCACTAAAAGTGTTTGTCTTCGGTGTAGTTATGTCATTCTTGCATGTCGTGTTGAGAGTGCCAGTGAGATTTTGCTGTTTTATGTTTATATACGTTGGATTTTGAAGGAGTGGGGAAGGAAGTCGGTATAGAAAAAAGGCATTGTTGTATAAGGTACAAAGTACATTTTTCACCTCAAAGAAGCCGACGCCTTATACAAAAATGTCTTTTTTCTATACTGACTTCCTTCCCCACCCCTTCAAAATCCAACGTATATAAACATAAAACAGCAAAATCTCACTGGCACTCTCAACACGACACGCAAGGATGGCACAATTACACAGAAGATAAACACTTTGAGTGAGTAGAAATACTTTGGTTGAATATATATAAAAAATATATTTTGCATCGTATAAATTCACTTTTCCACATCCAAAATGTAACTGTTATATGTAAACAATCTTTGTAAATCCCAGGCCCTGAAGATGATCTCAATAAAGATCGAAACGTTGGCACGATAAAGAAAATGTTTTTCTGAAACCTACATCACACCAGACCTGTGGCATCTCACGATTTCTAAATATTTATTTATAATTTTATTTTTTTATTTTTATTTTGTTCTATTTATAACTTTACTTAATAATATACGTAATAGTTATTTAATAAGCACTTTTAATTTATACATTGATTTATTTGAACGACGTAAGATATGCCTGTATGTTCAAAAATCAATGTATGTTGTGAATTTACGATTTATCCAGATTGTGTTTTAGTTTTTTTAATGTTACACGATGCTTTGGAATTTTAATTTCTTTCTTTAAAAAGTTATGATTTTTACTATCGCTATTACTTTTGGAAAATATACTTTATTAATTGCATTTACAACGTCTTCCTCTTCTTCTTCTTCTTCTTCCTCGTTCAATTCGTCTTTAACAGTGTCTGTCGTGTACATTTCATAATCTTGCATGGTGTGTGCCGGTTTCGGCGCGTACGGCTTCATTGTCGACGGCGTAATCATCTGGAACACCAAAATAAATTTATTTTGTCAAAAAACATAATAAAGTGACCGAAAAAAGGAAAGAAAATTCGAAAGGTTGTTGGTTGAGATGGGGAGTTGGTGTCCGAATGGATCGAAGTCAAGATAGCTCAAGTCATAGAGCAGCGGCGTATTTAGCCGAAGGTCTTGGGTTCGAATCCTCCTCGTGACACTACCTTTTTCATTTCCACCAATCCCTTACATAAAGATTAAGTAATAATAAACTGAGTTTTTTCGGGATTCTTACTTCTCCATGTATAGTCGTCGTGCCGTGGAGCTTCTTTCTTCTCGGCAAAGCAGGGAATCGAGCCTGAAAAGCCCAATTTTATTTGCGTTCATGGCGAAAGGTTTAAATATAAATAATTTTTTTTATTACGTATATAATTCGCTCGGGTTCTGTTGTAGGTATGGTGGATGATTCGAACTCCATTTCGTCCGGAAGATCTTCGATATCTGGCTCCAGTTCTTCCTTACGCGTGGTCTTTCTTTCCCTTTCATCTCCCCACTAAAATTTTACAAATTTTAACTAAACTAAAGCGCTTATAAGGTTTTTAATTTTACCTCATATCCGTTGTTGTAAGTGTGCCTTTTGTAAGCTCGTCCACACACCCCTAAAAGTCGTCAATTAACTATAAGAAGAGGCCGTGTAATAAAGAGAGAAGCGAGGATGAAGGGTTGCTGTTTGATGGAAATAAATAACGTGGAAGGACTTAATTTACTGCCTACTTCGAGATAGCGGTTCGAAATGTATTGTATCTCATTCGTGTTACAACGCATCCTCCGCATATCAATGGATGTAGAAGAATGAGAAGGAACCTTTCATCTTCTAATCTTTAATATAAATAATGAATTTTATGAACTACCTGTGGTCTCGTTGCACTGGTTATCGTTTTGGTCCACTTTGGGCGGAGCAAATTCCAAAATCACAGTATTGTTTCCGTTGGTGACTGTGTACTGGCCGTCGTCGTCCTCGCTCCTACCGCAGCCGAAAGTAATCAGCAACAGGAACATAAAAGTTAATAGTTTCTAAAAAAAATGATAATACATAAATGGTAGTTACTTATAAAAAATTGAGGTTTACAGAATCCGTCAAGAGATAATAAATCTAATCAATATAATTAATCTTTATGTAAGGTATTGGTTGAGATAAAAAAGTCAGTGTCACGAGCGGGATTTGAACCCACGACATTCTTCTAAATACGTCGCTGCTCTACCACTTGAGCTATCGTGAATTCGATCCACTCGCCGAAGGTCGTGGGTTCGAATCCCGCTCATGACACTGACTTTTTTATCTCAACCAATACCTAACAAAATATTAATTAATTGAAAGAGGTTATTTGGTCAATCGGACCACGAAATCTAATGGATTTAATAAGCAAAATGAAGTATACCTTCACTAAATCTCTCCGTGGCCATTTCATTTGTAGCCGAGAATCAAATAGATTACACGACATATGAAAAATGGTAAAAAGGTGGTTAAATTCGAAAAGTGGGGTTGAGATGGGCAGTTGGTGCCCGAGTGGATCGAAGTCACGATAACTCAAGTGGTAGAGCAGTGGCATATCGAGCCGAAGATCATGGGTTCGAATCCCGCTCGTATCGCTGACTTTCTTATAAAATATTTTTGTCTTCAAGTCCCTAAAAACTGTTCGCATTCCTTCTCATAGGAAGATACTTAATCTTCCTCCCAATAGTAAGGTATGGGGTTATTTTCCTAATAAAACTGAAACGTAGGCATTTCCTAACCGGACCTGTGGGCTTGTCTTTGTAATAATTACCCTACTGAAGAACAAACTAATTTATTAGGACTTTCTCTGCCTTGCATCAATGACAATCATGGGATATCAAGTTGTTTCCAAAGTTCGTTTTCAATGGAAACAAGCAGAAAATAAAAATTTGGAAACAGACCACTAAAATTTCTCGCTACGAGTTTTAGTTTAAGAAAAAATGTAAAAATTCCTTCATTGGAGTTCGTCGTCCGATTGCCCAAATAACCTTTTTTCAATGAATTAATATTTTTGAAAATATTAGTTGAGACAAAAAAGTCATTGTCATGAGCGGGATTCGAACACACGACCTTCGGCTAGATACGCCGCTGCTCTACCACTTGAGCTATCGTGACCTAGACTTCCCGAAAATTCAAAAGGTGCGGTTGAGATGGGAAGTTAGTGTCCGAGTGGATCGAAGTGACAATAGCTCAAGTGGTAGAACAGTTGCGTATTAGCCGAGGGTCGTGGGTTCGAATCCCGCTCATTGCACTGGCTTTTTTACCTTAACTAATACCTTACATAAAGATTAATTAATTGAAAGTAGTTATTTGGTTAATCGGACAACGAAATCTGGTAGATCTAATCCATATATTTTTGGTTGTATAAACCACTATTTCTTGGTTAAATGTAGCGTATGAATTTTATGAACTACTATGTGGTCTCCTTGCTATTTATCAATTGTCTATTTAGTCTATTCATTTATACGTTGGGTTAAAAGTAAACACTTTTTAGAGCATTTTATTATTATAGACATTTCTGGTTATTTTTATCCCATGCTCTATTTCAAGGGATATTAACCCCGAAACGTTCCGAAAAACACAATAAGAATTACAAAAAGACTTTATTTTTAATACAACCATTAAATAAAATATATTCTTTTAAATTTATTTAATTTTGGAAATGTGTGAAAAAAGAATCAAGAACGGTTTAAAAAAAGAAAGTTGTTCTCATTTCCTTGGGATTAGGAAGAAATCTTCACCAATTTTCTTCTTTAATTGTAGCAAAGTTAAATTAGTGTAATTTACTGTAATAGTCTAACTTTTTATCGCTTTTACTGTTTTCTAATCACTGATAAACTTTGGTAATTAAATATTACCTAACTTTTATCCTTTATTCACAATTTTTAAAAAAATAAAGCCGGTCGATTGAATGTTAAACGACTTTTTAAAGTTTAGTTTACATAAAAAGGTATCAACTCTCCAAGTTGTTTTTTTTTTATAAGACGATAAGAATTTCTATAACCTAAAATTATTGGAAATGTGTTTTTCAATCGAAAAACCGACACATTGTACTATCTCATATAGTAAAATAACTCTTCCCATTTTGTGAAAACTTTTAGAAAAAGCTAGTATAAAGTATATACTGACACATTGCGCCATATAGATTATTTCCTCCTCCGTCAAGTTGAGGCACTGTTTCTTTTGAAAATACTACCTCATCACTGTAATCACACTTCACTTGTCGGTACTTCCGAGTCAATGAAAGCAATTGATCCGTTATTAAAACGTATTATCATATCTTGGGGTGTCCCTCAGGGTAGCGTACTAGCTACATTTTACAAGTACGCAGCTGGCATCCATCCTATATTCAGCCGATCACGATGACCTTACCAGTCCCCCAGACGATACTCCGCTGTCTCAAGTAACTCTGATTCTTTCTTGCTACTCAAAAACCTTAATATCATCTAACCTTTCTGGAGTGTTTGTGTGAAAAAAAATATTTCGCATAAAATTCCACCCAGGTAATCTTCACTCACCACCAAAAGTTCTTTATTTAAAGGAGTAACTCCATTTATTTATTAACATAACTCCAGTTTCTTTCAATAGGACTGTACATAGCCAAATTTTGTATTTGAATTAATTAAACTTTATGCAAGGCTAGTTATTCAGATATCGTGAGATGCAGTCGGGTGTGATGTAGGTTTCAGAAAAACATTTTCTTTATCGTGCTAACGTTTCGATCGTTTATTGAGATCATCTTCAGGGCTCAAAGTGTTTGTCTTCTGTGTAATTGTGCCATCCTTGCGTGTCGTGTTGAGATTGCCAAGGCATTGGTTGAGATAAAAAAAGTCATTGTCACGAGCGGGATTCGAACCCACGACCTTCGGCTAAATACGCCGTTGCTCTACCACTTGAGCTATCATGATTTTATCTCAACCAATATCTTACATAAAGTTTAATTAATTGAAAGAAGTTATTTGGTCAATCGGACCACGAAATCTAATGGATTTAATTTTGCATTTGACATCAACCCCACACGTCATTAAAACGATCAAGAAGAGTTGACTCAGGACGAAGCTCTTGCACGACATCTTTGCTCTAACTTACCTCTCATAAATAAAAAACAGCTTGATAACACCTTGAAGATATGGACTTACCGACTGGTAGTAGGATTGCATACAAAATGTATAAATTAATTCACTTTTAACTAACGAAAAACAAGTAAAGACTTGAATTAATCAATATATTTTGCAATTATTAGGGAGAGAGATAGAGCGAGTAAGAAAGGGAGATGGAGAGAGATAGAGAGAGTGATAAAGGGAGAGCGAGAGACAGAGACAGAGAGAGCGAAAGAGAGAGTGTGAGAGAGAGAAAGGGAGAGAGAGAGTGAGTGAGAGAGAGAGAGAGAGAGAGAGTGTGAGAGAGAGAAAGGGAGAGAGAGAGAGAGAGAGAGTGTGTCAGGCNAGAGATAGAGAGAGAGAGAGTGATAGAGAGAGTGTGAGAGAGAGAAAGGGAGAGAGAGTGAGTGAGAGAGAGAGAGAGAGAGTGAGAGAGAGAGAGAGAGAGAGAGAGAGAGAGAGACTGAGTGACGGAAAAAAACATTGAAAGTGAAATGTATAGTACAATATAAAGTAATAGAGTGTGAGATATGAGGAAAAAGAAAAAAGAAAGACTGAGGGAGACAAAAAGAGAAAAAGAGGTGGACAGATAAATATATAGAGAAAGAAAGAGAGAGAGAAAGAGAGTGAAAAGGAATGATAGAAAAAAGAGAAATCGAGAGTAAGAGAGAGAGAGAGAGAGTGAGAGAGAGAGTGACGGAAAAAATCAATGAAAATGAACTGTATAGTATAATATAAAGTAATAGAGTGTGAGATATGAAGAAAAAGAAAGAAAAACGACATAAAGAGAGAGAGAGAGAGAGAGAGAGAAATTGAAAGTAAGAGAGATAGAGAGAGAGAGAAATTGAAAGTAAGAGAGATAGAGAGAGAGAGAAATTGAAAGTAAGAGAGATACAGAGAGTGAGAAAGGGCGAGCGAGAGACAGAAAGAGAGAGACAGAGAGAGAGAGAGAGAGAGAGAGAGAGAGAGAGAGAGAGAGAGAGAGGGAGGGAGGGAGGGAGGGAGAGAGAGGAGAGAGAGAGAGGGAGAGAGCGAGCGAAAGGGACACACACACGCTGTGACGATGATGGAATTATACAATAGAGGCTACAAAACATAAAGCCTTATGCTACAAAGTGTTATTCTTTAATACATTTAAAAGGTTGCAACAATTCGTATTAAAAGGCCGAAATTAGAGCCTAATGTTTTCCATATTCACCCTAAAATATTGTCAAGACGGTATCGATCATTATTGAAAACAAAACTGATTGTTTTGCAAATAACAAATATTTGACTTTTGAATAAGTTTCTACTTTTTCTCAAACATTAAGTAGATAAAAGTATCCCATTGTTGAAAAAATATCAGAATCTTTTATAAAATATAATTTTAACTTTTTTTAATTTAATAAATTTTAAAACATTCTTCCTTTAGTTAATGTTCAAACTATTATAAAAAATACTTACTATCATCCCCCTAGCTTCACCATACGGCTTTATTATGTTTATTACAAATGCACTTATTACTGATGAGATATCGATAGATGGAGGTCAATGTTCCCATTAGGTATTCCATTATGTGATATTATTATTAATAATAAATACAATTAACTCACCATGGGCTTCATATAGTGTCGATAAATAATAGCAAGCGCACCCATGTAAATCACTCAAAGACTGGCGTTCAAAAGATGATTTGCTCTCTTTTTAAACTCGGAATTTAGATACGGCTATGACAAATCCGGGCCGTCGACTAATCCTTGAAAAAACTCATTGATAAAGTGCAAAGAAAGAGAGAGAAAATCGACAAATTACAAACAGAATTAAATACAATGGATTTTTAACTTTTTTTTTTTCAAAGTCACGATTCATTCATTAGAAGAGGTGGGTGTAATTGATAAAGGCAGGTTTAGTTTCATTGATCAAATCAGTTTTGGTTGTTTGCTGTGAAAAAGGACTTTTTATTCAACTTAACTGGGCAACTTTGCTAAATTGTCGTTGGCAGTAAGATTCGAAACAGAATGTTTTTTTTTTAAATCAAAAATATCTTTTTATTAAATTATTTCTAGGTAGTAACTTTTTTTCATTATACTTATTAGTAATATTATTGCTTTTTGCACATAGTGACTAGAAAATCCATAGAAATTTATAATTAAAATTTGCTTATTTGTTTATTTTGTACACTTCAAAACTTGAAATACAATAAATTTTAAAAGTCCAAATTTTGATGTACATATTTTTTTAAGTTATAAATGAACCAACATTAAAATATATTTTAATTTTGTTTTATTTAATGTAGCTCAAATATTAATTAATGTTAGCATTTAACTAAATATTAAATATTATTGTGGTTTTCTTCTTCTATCATGCTGATCTATTGGGTTGTCCGGAAAATAATGCAGGATTTTAAGTTTTCATTAAAAAAAATCTATATAAAATATTCTGTTTACGTTTACAGGATTACTCATTNTATGGGAAATTATTTTGATTAAAGAACATTGCTTTAAAGTAACTAGTTTCTTTTTTTTTGTTTAATACCAAAATCCTGCATTATTTTCCGGACAACCCAATAGTTTTGCTCGTTTTGTTCGGTAGTATGTGATAAGTCGTGTCTTTTTTGTTTATGTTTAAAATTTGTTTTTGGCTTTTGTGTTGTTTTTTTTCATATAAATCTGAGTTATATAAGTATACAAGCTATTTTTTATGTTTTACTTTAATAATTTATATAAGGAGTTGTTATGCAGCTAACAAAAGATTGATTTTTGTGTATTCCTTGTGAAATGGTTTGGGCCAAATTTATCTCTGGAGAAGAACAGAGGTTGTGCTTATATAGGAGGTTGGGAGCAGAAGGGGCCAATTCGGGGCCGACCTCTTTCTGCCCGCAAAGAGACAGAACTGGTGGAGGGGTGGTGGAAATCCATTTAAACTTAGCTCCTATACCTACTGGAAAAAAAGATGTCTTGAAAGTCCCTTTTTCCCTCCCACCGAGGTGGCTGCTCTGCATAAAAGCTTATTCAATTACCTCGACCCGGTGCGGTAAGCAGCCTAGCCGACTTGTTTTATTAGTAAATTTCTTATTGGAACAGACGCCTGGACGAAAGGGCTTTGACGGTTTTACGACCCCGGACAAATAACTACCTTTGACTTTATTACAAGGGTCAAATATGCCGAGAAGCCATAAAATATTTTACCATAATAAAAGACTGTGCGAAGGACTGAGTTAACATTGGGAGCACACAGTTTTTTTAATTTTATTTATTTGTTTCCCATATTAATCCTGGCCTAATACAGAAAAACTATCCATTAACTGGTATCTTTTTTAGTCAACATGTTTATTACTTTAGCAAATAATGAAATTTATACAATAAAAAACACCTTATTATACTTTATATCAGTGCCCTTCGCCGGTTGTACTTTTTACTTTCGGACTCAAGTAGTCACGTCCCAAATAAGCCCCTTGCACTTCTGGGCTCAAGTCTCTCCGCTTCTCATTTTGCTGTTGCATTGTCTTTCCAAAGTCCACAAAGTATCGCTTTTATTACCTTTATGCAGATGAGTCCCAAATTTACTTTTCCTTCACACACAGTCGTAAAAATTCAGGAGGGCGGAAACTCAATTAAAAAGAAAATTCGATGGAAGTATCAATTAGAAGCAAAACGCCCTAAATATTGTAGGAAGTTGGTGTGAGAAAATGGGTTTGATTATAAATCCAAAGAAAACATCTCTCGTATCCTTCACAAGAAGGAGGAAGCTAAACAAACCTCCTACTATAAAAGGTGAAACCTTAACTTTCGTCAAAAAAATTAAGAACTAATGTATAATCCTTGACTAAGGGTGTAATTCGACAAAGTATGATACTACATAATCAAAGGCCAGAGATATCCTGCAAAAACATGAGAATAAACCCCAGGATGGCGTTTGGTTTATATTCCACAGACGAACCCTTGATAAACACATAGAGCTCAAGTATGGTGACTTAAAACATTGAACAAGGATATATAAAACAAACTAAACGTCATTAAAGACTTGCATGCCTGCAGCAATGCATACTTACCTAACAACAACCGTGGAAACTGCATTAGGCCACAGATTAAACTATGTCAGGGGAAACCAGACCAAATCCTTTGTGAATGTAGAAAATTAGACTGGTACAGCCACATCAGTGAAGCAAATCTGACGCCAAAAGAGGAGCGCGAAGAGGCGCAGAGAAGAGTGCTTAGATTTGTGAGTAAAAATACAGTTATAGGTTTTCCACTATAGTCCGATATAGGTCGAAGTGGAGAAAATATTTGAAATCTTTACCCCCCTAAAAACCCCTAATTATGTCGTTATTTTGATTGCTCTTTCCTTGATTTAACTTGACTATCACCAAAACTGCCAGACACAATGTTACAGTTGGAAGTTAAAAAGCGGAAAGTGATAGGACTATATGCCGGTAACTGACAAAAGAGAAAACACCCACGCACATCTATTAAAATTTCATTTATAGGTTATGCAAAGAAGAGGAAGACACTGCCACCATTTTCAAATGTGACCCAACCACTTAAATAAGTCATAACCTAGGAAATCCAAGAAGGTCCAGGAAAAATAATAGCAGCAATGACAGTGAATGACCAACTACTTCTTAAAATAAGGTTCGGGTCAATTGAACAACTAAGAAACTAGGGAAAGTATAGTCAGTCAAGGCTGCAATGGTTGAGGAATGTAAAACCCATGCTTCCTAGCACTATCATCATCATCTTTCTTTCATTTTTAACAGTTATCTCGCAATTTGTAATTAACGATCACATTAATTTTCCCTGTCCCAACGTCTAGAACCAAGATTCTTGGTCCAAGTCTTGGAAGCGCATATGCCCCTGATTTTTCCACCCTTATCAGTTTTGTCGTTTCATCTTTAGGACGTAAACTCCGAGTTTCGTGAATCTATTCAGTTCGTTTTTCGTATCATTCCAAATTAAAATTTTACGTGCTATGCCGAATTCGAACCCAGAATCGAGAGCATGGCAAATACAAGTCGGATGCCCTAACCACGGTACTTGTCAAACTTGCCCGCAACCCAGGCTTCAGAAGCGATTTTTTTAAGTAAGTTGTAAAAATACGCCCGGCCAAGTAAAAATATGATTAGAAATTAGAAAATAAAAGCATATTTTCGAGATTTCAAAGTGATTTCAAATTTATGAATTTCATGATAAGTTTTTGCAGACTCTGGTTTCAAAGAGAATATTTACTTAGTTTTCTGAATTTATTGTTATACTATTTATTGTGTGCTGCTATAATAGGCATAAAAAAATCAAAAGAGTAACGCAATATACAGAAAATTTTGCATGTTGGAAAATGAAATTTGTATTTTTATTATAAGGAGGTATTTGATGACATTTGCCCCGAATAGGAAAAGGATTGGAAGGAAACAAATGCGGTTCAAGATCGGAATTTAAGCACACAGGCGAAATCCTGACCTTGCCTCGCGACATCGACACCGCGGCTCCAATCGAGATTCCTCGTCCTTGCGCATTTCTTTCTTTTTTTTCGTACACCCTCGTAACTTGATTAACGACTGCTCGGGATTGGCCGAGGTCTTCAGGAGTTAAAGACCTCCCGGGCTTTGCCGTGCCCGGTTGTCTCGAACGGTCCGAGCTCGTCGGAGCTTATCGCGATATTCATACTAAATTAGAACCAAGCTCGACACGAAACCTGGAAACCCGGTTTTCCACTTTTCCTTCCTGGTGTTAAGACCTTATCTACGCAATTTGAACATAATTAAAGGCTCTAATATGAAAAACACAATGCGACGACAGTTCTTTTTTTTTCGAAACATGAAAATGAAATTTTAGCAGTTATTTTTCCAACTATACATAACATTAAATACAAATGTAATGCTTGTGTGTATAACTAAGTTTGTATTCGAAGAACAAATCTTTTCATAAAATGCTGTATTTTGGACCAAGATGTCTTCTGCCTCGTTGCCTCAAATTCCATCATGATTTGAGAAAACCTCAGCGCAATGCTATTTGTAGATCCAAGCATTTAAATTTGTATTTAGGCTATTTTGTATTTAGTATTTATTGTATTTTTAAATTTGTAATTATTGTATTAGGATTTTTTGTATTTAGGCCGTTCTAAACTAGTTTACGATCCATCGCCTAGGTCCTTTAGGGGATATTATTTTTTAAAAATATTTATGTGGCTCTCGTTTATTAATTAAATTTAAGTTTAATTGCTACTCTTTCTCCCAATTTTGGATTGTTATTGCGGGAAGTCTTTTTGCATAACTCATGTCTAGCGTATGTTCCCAGTGTATGTTATGTTCTCTAGCCATCCAAGATTCCAGTTTTGCATTAATGTGGCTTTTGCTTATTTATGTAAAACTTGGAATCTTTAGTTGATTTAGAAACTTCATGTGGCTCCTTTTTATTTACACTTTGAAGGTACACTTTTAATTTATTTTTAAAGCCCTCACGTTGTCCGATGCCGAGAAATTATTAACAGTAATCCATTTACGTTTTAGTGGTCAATTGATCAAGTTACTTGTTTCAATTATTATTCTTTTTTTTTAAGGTCTTGGTTGAGATAAAAAAGTCGCAAGAGCTCATTTGGTAGAGCAGCGGCGTATTTAGCTGAAGGTCGTGGGTTCGAATCCCGCTCGTGACATGGACTTTTTTATCTCAATCCTTTTTAACACA